AATTGATATTGATGATGGATCATTTGGATAATTAGCAATTTAAATAATAAAAAAAACAAAAGTTTTTGCTAGATAAAAACCAGAATAAAAGAAACTTATAATTCAAATGATTTAAAGTCTTGGAAGATAAGTTTTAATGTGTGGAGATGGAGCAAATGATTGTGTAATTATTTTTCATTAAATATTATTAGTCAGCTATTTCATAAGCTTAAGTAGGAATATCATTTAGTGAAGCTGATGCATCATATACAGCTCCTTTTAGTAGTAAATCTACTTCATTAGATTGTGTAGTTAAGGTACTATTATAAGGTAAAGCAGCTACAATGACCATTATTGAAGTTTTCTAATATTAAATTAGCGTTAATACATTAAAATTCATAGCTGTTTTATTTACATTTTTAGAAGCTGAAACATTTGCAGATTTTTAATTCACTTATACAAGTATTATTTCAAACATTCCATTACTGATATTTTTATGTCTGTCTGGTCCATCTGATACTTTAGCTAAATATAATCCTTTAGATGATTAATTTGCCATTTATAATTAAATTTAAATTCATAACAATTTAATTTGGGGATCAGCTGGGTATTATAATATATTCATTATTAGATTAATAATTAATTTTTTTATATCATAAGCAGTCAGAGATGTACATACATGTGAGTTTAATGAACCTATTACAAATTGTATACCAAAACCAATTGAAGAATTAAAAAAAACAGGAGATATTTAATCTGTTATGTTTATGAGTTTAATGTTCTTCTTTATGACATTTGCAATCAATCTTTATATCTCAAATCCATTCAAATAAAGATATTATAGAAACTATTTATTACTCTTATGGACGATATTAGGATTCATCTTATTTTTTGTTTCAGCTATATTCCCAACTGGTGGAAAATGGGCTAAATTAATTAATGTTAATAATAATGCGTATCATTTTTTAATTATTTTTTAGTTTTAAAGGATATAATTGGATAATGATAGCTGTTGTTGTAATTGCCTCCTTTTTTGGATTTATTACTTAGGCTTTATTACAAAAATATCTTCCTTCAAAAAAGAAGATAGAATTTTGAATTATTATTTTAGAATATAACAAATTATATTTATTAAATTTGAAATAATTAATGCTGTACTTTGAAATTAATTTAATAGGTTCATTTCTTCAATATTCTAGAGGATCAGTTTAATAGTAAATATTTTAATTTAATAATGAATAGATGAAGTTGAAAAAAGATTATGTAAAAATAGTTAATATTTTCATTAAGAGTGATAAAATAATAAGGAATAACTCTTAATCTTTTGAATATTTAAATTCATATTCTTAAATTAAACTTAGTAAAATAATATTTATACTACATTTGAAAATAAATTATTTTATTTATTATGTTGATTTTATCAATATTTTCTTTAGTTTCTTCACAAATTATAATAGGAGAATTGCCATCTGAAATTAATGAACAATTGACTATTTAAGTAGACACTAAATCATTTAGAATAAGTTATTGTTTATCATCAGATTAATATAAAAGTGGGCTTAAAAAAAATGAATTCAATTATCCTAATCCAAAAGCTTTTATATAATTAAATGAGAAATTAATGCTACAATATATTACAGATGAACTTTATATTAAAATGGAGAATAAATCAGCTCTATTCTATTATGAGAATTGGAGATGCAAATAATATGCCATATATGATTATGATCTTTAAGAATATGAAATATCTGTAAATAATTCTAAGAATAGAATTCTCAGAATACTTGAGTAAGAGAAATAAGATTTGAGTAAATTAAAATGTAAATATAATCATAATATATAGAAAACAAAGTTTGGAATTATTAATTACATCTAAATTCTAAAACATAGTAATAGCATATTTAATTGAATTATGATAACATATCTAATGGACCTAAATATTAATATGAAAGAAAATTGATTGGAGCTGGATTACATCAATTTATAGAAACAAAAATTACTTTTGATAAATAACCCAGTCAAAATGTGGTTATTGTAGATGAATTAGATACTTTTACTTATGTAGATAAAGATGAATTAGATAAATTACCTTATGATGCTAAATTAATGACAATTGTAGATATAGAAAGACCTAATGAACTTTCTACTTAACACATCATTCTAAGTAAACATAAAGGAACATTAGAAATTATTTATGTTATGCCATATCATTTTAGATATCATTTAGCATCAGATACACATTATAAAACATCATATGTTCCTAATATTCCTAGAGTTTATCTTGAATCTTAATAAGGAGGAGATCCTTTAATTAAATCATTTTTTAATCATAACTTTTAATAAGCTGAAATTTCAAATTATTAATCGCATTTAAGCTATGAAATTCCAGTTGGATATTTACCTTATAAAAATGTTGTTATTATGATAACTATTGGCATTACCCTTGGAATGGCATTACATATATCTAATTTAATTAGAAGAGAAAAATAGTGATTTTTTAATAATAATAAAAATAACAATCATAAATCAATTTTAAAATCTATTTAAATTTTATGTTGCAATTTATAAATCTTATTAATCTTCCAATAATAATGTTATTTCTTCTTTTTCACTTACTATATGAAGATGCAAAATATCTGGTTATGAATATACTAATTATATGGTTTCATACTCCATATAATTCTAAATAAGGTTTTGATGTATGAAAAATATTTGTTGATCACAAATGTATAATATTTTAGTCTAACCTTTTTAAAGTACCTCATGAATACTAATAATTATAAATTTTTTATTAGAATACTCTCTGTTGCGATCACATTTCTAAGCTTACTTTAAAATTTAATAATTTTTAGCTTATTGTTTATTAAAGACTTTATAAAATTTCATTTATTCATACAATACTCTTTTTATTCTTATTTCATTCCAATTTGTCAATTTAGTTTGATTTATATTTAGTTTATTTATTAAGAATTAACCTATCATATTAAATAAAAACTTTGAATCTCCAAAAATATACTTTTTCATTATTTTATGAAATAAATTAGATGGTGAACTTATAAAGTTTTCTTAAACAAAATGTTACCTCTCTAATTAATAAATATCTTATAAATAAGATATTTTCATTTTTATCGGACATAAAATTAATTTTTTGACAAATATCTTAGCTTATTTGATTTAAATTGAATTAATTTTTTTATTCAAATTTGTTGGTATTTCTAATTCAGTAAGTTATTAATTTCTTGAATTTTAAATTGATTATTAACCAATTAAATCATAAAATTATGCCTAAATTTATTCTTATTTATCTTTTAATCTTTAATCCATACAAAATTAAAAATTTCCAAAATTTATTTTTACTAAATCAACACAAATGCAATTTTATGCAGATCCATCTAATCTGAATTCAAATTCTATTGAATTCTATGATTATTAAACTTCAGAAAATAAAATAGTCTTTTCTTCAGACAAACTTTTCGATTAAGAGTCTATTTGTATTTTTTATAACTTAAAATTTATCTATTTATAATTCTGTTCGTTTGATTAATAATTCATTATTATATTTTCTAAAAAACAAATTGCTAATTCCTTATATTAATATTTTAAATTTTCAAAATAAGATATTGTGCATCCAAAAATCTGCATTTTAAGTTCCAAAATATATTAAATTTTTTCTTATTCTATTTATATCTAACTTTGACTTAATTATTGAAAATCTTTAAAAATAAATTATTTCTACTATGCTATTTAAATAACAGTATAATCATATTTCTATCGATTTATTTCTATCGTACCATTTAATCCAATCTAATCTAACATTAATTAAAATTATATCGAATTCTCCCATTTCATCTTTTAATCTTTTAAATTAACTAGATAAGTAAATTCCCTATCAGTTTGATAAGAATTAGCTAAAGGAAACCGATCTCCATAAGTTAAAGTTTCATTATCACTTTTTAATTATATTTATAAGGATTTAGATTCGTTTATAATAATGTATGGAAAATCTTGTTAATTTTCAATTTCATCAATAAAAAATATAAATTATCCTTTTAATTCTAAAATAGATACTTTTATAAATAGTCTAATACACAGATCAATTGATCTTAACAACATAATGAATTGTTATTAAGCCATTATATTGAATCTTGCAGTTTGTAAGACATAATTTTCAAAATTAATTTTTAAAGAACATTCATAGGGTAGATCAGCATCATTCAAAAGATTTTAATTCCAAATTTATAAAGGTAATTTAATAAAAGGTTCCAATATGATTTTTTTATCTTCATAACAAAGTTAAACAATCTAATTCAATCTATTAAAAACCATATATTTATAACACAACTCAAAATATGGAATAGTTTAATCTCCCATTTAAATAACATTTTTCTCTATTTGTATTGGAAGATAATATAGCTGATTATTCTCTTTTTTTTAAATGTATAAAGTCTCTGAATTTATGATTTGAGTTAACATTAAAGGTTATGATTTTAAGTTTGTATTTCTTTCTTCAAAAATTAATATATGTTTATCTTAAATCTTTTTAAGAGTAATCAATTATTAAGATGTATTTTATTTTTATCCTCCTAAAATCTCTAAATTCTTTTCAATTCCTTAATAAAATATTAAATCTAATTTTGTATTATTAATTAAGTAAGGCTTATCAAATTAAATAATAATTTGATGTCTTCCATAATTATCTATTTTTGGCCTTATCAATAACTATAAAGCTAAATTCTTTTTGTCATAGTTTAATTACCATTTTTCATCTTCCAAAAGCACACTCCTTTCTTTCATCAAATCATCAAATGAATATTATATAGATTAATAATATCGATCAATTGAAAAACTAAATAAGTATTCAATAGAAGGATTTATTTCACAATCTGGTACTATTTCATTCTACATTATAATGAAATTTGTAAATTATTTAGCTTAAGGACAATGTTTATCTATTCTAATTTTAAAAGGTGTTTGATTAATGAATTCAACAATTGGAACTATTGAGATTATTGATCTTTCCTTCATTAAAGGATCATGTACACATTTTATTCTAAAGAATTTTTTATTCAGACTTAAAATTTCAAAATTGTCTTTTTTTAATTTTTAAACAATATTTGAATAATTAAAATTTTCAGATGATTAATTATTTTCAAAGAGACAAAATTAACCTTTTTGATAATGACTTGGAATTTAATAAATGTTTTGATACTTTTAAAATTTTTGAAATTATTAATGTCTAATACTTTTATCTAAATTTAGTATTTCTTAATGAGAAATTTTAATTTATAATGGAAAGGGAGTTTAATTTATTAATAGAATATTGCTACTAATTATTGTTCTAGAGGAATTCATAAATTCATCTACAATTGTTTCAATTATTAAAGTTAAACCTTTTTCTTATATGACTTTTTTTTTCTATTATTTCAAAGACCAATTTTATATTTTGATAGTAGTATTTATTCCATAGATATCAAATTAGAAAACTCCATTACATTTTGTAAGTTTTTTCTATAAATTTGTTAATTCAAATGTTTGTCTATCTTCTCCCTAAGCTACAATTAATAAACCACTCGAATTAAATATTTCATAAGTTTCATATGTAATTATTTAAGAATAATTTTAATTTATCTGCCTATTTCCTTATTTCTGTTCATTAAGTTAAGATGATTTAATTAAATTCTTAAATTTCAATATATTGGATAATATTTCCATTGATATATTAATATTACAGATATCTTGTATATTAAAGTCTAGATTGATCTTAGGCTTTAGATTAGAAATTTATAAAATGAGTTCTAAATAAATAGGTTCAATAATTGGTTCCCATACAAATTTAGTAGAATGATAATTATATAATTCAAATAGATTTCTAGTGTAATAATACATATCGTTTTAATTTAATTGTAATTTCAAAAGTGGTTACTTCTAAATTATACCAAACATTGGTAATGATGAATTTAAAAAATCATCTATAAATACTGCTTATATTATAGTTTCAACACCAACTGTTAATGAATATGTCTTTTCTCTATATTAAATTAGATAACTAGCAATATCATGAGAATCATAGAAATCTTTTATTTAATTTGATAATTTTTTCATTTCTTTAATGATATAACAAATATCTTAAGTACCCAGTGTGACTTTTAATTAATTTATTCTCAAATTCATTTAATGATTTATCACTTTTGTTTAAAATACTAGTTGCCAATCAAAAAAGATATTGCAAGATGATAAAAGTACTTTTTTAGTACTTTTTCTCTTATAAATACTTGATTAAAGTGTTTGTTATTAAGTAAATATTGCTTAAGCATCTTAAAGCATAATTTATATAATCATTTCTTTTTAATTCTAAACTTTCAATATTCCTTAAGGAACACTAGTAAATTATAAACAATCTTCATCTGGTGAATCTTATAGAAACATAATTGAAATGAAATTTTATGACCATTTAATTTATTTAAGTTCACTCTATTTAAATAAAATTTATTTCAAATTTATTTCAACTATCATTTTGTTACAAATTATTTAAAGATCTGGATACTATGTTAAATAAGAATTTATGATAAATTTTGTTAAATTCCAATCTTATTTCATTTCAATAGGATAAAATTCTAATATTTAACCTATTATTTTAGCTCTGTAGCTTAAAAGACAATAAGGAAGTGAAAATTTAACTGTAGATTCTTCATTTAATTGCTTAGAATACTCAACTATTGCTGAGTAATTTTAATCATTTTCAATTTCTAAAAATTTTTTATCTTGAAAATAATGATTTTAACACTTAACATCTCTAGTAATAATGAAATGATTAAATTTTAAGGTTGTATTTTATTACAATTATGAACCCACACTTAAATAATTTAAATTAGCAATTTGAACATTAAGACATGGTTAATTATTATTTTCAAAAACTACAATATAAATACTATTTAATTTCATTTCAAATGATGATAAGCTCTCTTAATTTAATTATTAGTTTTTTTAAAAATTCACACTGTCAGTTTAATTTTATTACAAAATACTTTTTACAAAATAATTATCATTACGAGAAATTTAACATTAATTTACAATTAATTCTCTATCTTCATCTGTTTAAAAATCTAATTGTATATTTTAGTTATTTGTTATTAATTTTAAAACTTGATCTTAATTTATTGTTAATTTTTAATATGATATATTTTCTAAATCTATTTTCATAATTTTCTCATCTTTTTCAACTTCATATAAATTTAAGAAATTTTTCTAAAATGTAAATCTACATTTAATTTTATTTTAATTATGGGGATTATAAAAAAAACAAAATTTAAGTTGATTCTCTTCATTACTTCTAAGTTGATTTTTCAATTCCTTTAATGGTTATTAAAAATGAGTTCCATAAAATTAATACAAGTATTTATAAATAATAGGATTAATTTAAAAAGTCAAATCACCTAATTCTAATATTGACTTAATTTAATTATCCTAAAAATAAATTATGAGATCAATATCACATTTTGTTATTTTAAAAAAATCTCTAGAAATTATTATACTGTTGAAACAATACTCTTGATTTATAAAATTAATACATGAACTAATTTTTTCAGAAAATCCAAAAGTAGTGTCAGATATTTTAATCTTATATAGAGATTAATTTTATGTTTTATAATTAAATTCTAATGATCCTGGACTGAATAAAAATGTTTCTTTACTATTTGTTGAAAGTATGTATACTTTCTCAAATTTAAAGTTTATATCCTTTTCTTTTTTATCGCTAACAATATCTTAAATTTGTTCTTTAGCTTTCCTAGTTAATTTAGGTAGTTAATTTTCTGATACTACAAAAAAATAAAATAAATCGTAATATTTTTCAAATGCTTCTTGATTAAATAGAATTTAAAAGGGACAAGTTTAAATAAAAAGACTTTCCTTTTTTTCTTCATTAATGAGATGTAATTCTAAAATATATCTATCTTCAAAATTTGTATTTTTGGAAATTAAATAATTTATTTTATCTTAATATTATAAGAGAGCTTCAGCTTATTTAACAGTAAAATCTAGTTGCAATTAATTAGTTTTTATCATTGACATACTTATATTTTTGAAATTGATAATTAATTAATTCAATTATCCTCTGTAAATAGAAGATAAGCCTATTTGACATTAATTTATAACTAATTCAAATTTAAGTTAAAGACTTTTAAGATATTATTACTACATATTGGGATCTTATTCTAATACATCTAGTATATTAATAATTTTTTCTTCCATTTTTTTATCATTTTTCACCATTCCTCCAAACCAACCTAGTTTCTTTTTTCTCAATTAAAAAATTTCCTCGCCTTTATCATATTTCAAAATTTCAAATTGTATTTATTTTAGATCATTAATAGATTATGTTTATGCAAGTTAACATAATTATTCATACGCTTGTGATTCCATTGATGACTCTGTTAGAGAGATGCTTTTTAAGATATTCTTAATTTCAGCTTTTGTTTTTTCATCATCTTCCTTATTCTGACTCTGTTCCACTTATTAATTTTATCTTTTAGTAAATTATGATATATAGTCAGAAAATCGATATATAGAATTACATTAATTTTTAGAGCAATTAAATTATAGACGATCAAATACAATTCCTAATTAAAAGGAGAGGATATCAGAGTTTAATTCTGCTACGTCTTCAAGAGTAGCGTAAGCATTTAATTAAGTAACAGGATCTTACCAAAATAATTGAAGATTCTTGATTTCAATATTTCTTAATTTAGATTGATTAGGATTGGATGAGGATTTGCATGTTAAATGTTCTAATTTGATACCGAAAGAGTTTTGAGTGCAATATTTATCAATAATAGTAATGTTTAAATTAGTTAATTCAACTTCCATATTTTGGATTAAATTGAAGGCGAATTTCTTTTTAGGGTCTTATTATTATTTGTCTTAAGCTGCCATAGCTTTTAAAAGATCTTCAACTAAGGTATTTTTAAATTTATCAAGAATTTATAATTTGATAGCACTTTCCATAATAAAATTTCCATATAAATTGAGTATTTCTATTACAATATGAAGAGTATCTATTTTAATAGAATATTGTTTTCCTAAAGTGATACTAATATTATTAATGATGCTTTCTCTTATGATTAAAGGGAGATTGAATTTTTTAAAGATGTTAGGTTTGAATTACATATTATTTAATTGTATTTATCCTTTAGATAATTGAGTAGTAACTTATTCTTTGGAAATATTATCAAAGTATTCAAAAACATAGGTATTGATATAATCAGTGAGGTAGGACTTCAAAAATTACATGATAATTAATATTAATAATAATGTAAATGGATAGAGAGTATAAAAGACAATAGTATGAATATATTATTAATAATTTAATATAAATATATAAAAATCTGATATATTTCTTAGATGGCAGGAAAAGAAGCAACATTAGTATTATTAGATGTAGGTTCATCAATGTATGAGAAATATAAGTAGGGTGGTTAAGGAAAGGAAATAAGAAGATTAGAATTAGCTATTGATTGTATAGGGATGATGATTTAATAGAAGATATTTAATTATAAAAATCATGAAGTAGGATTAGTTTTATTTGGAGCAGAAGATGCTGAAGATGGGAATACATTTTATATATAGTAAATATCAGCTCCAGATTTCGAATTTTATAGAAATGTAACAGAATTAGTAAAACATGATATTCCAAAAATAAGAGGCGGGGATATTTTTGATGCATTAGATAAATCAGTAAGTACATTGGATGATCATGTAAAGACAAAAAAGATGGATAAAAAAATATTTGTATTAACAGCAGGATTTGGATAGACAGAATATAATGAAAAAATGATAGCAAAATTAATAAAGATGATTTAAAAAGTAGATGTGAAAATCAATTTTATAGCATTAGATTTTATGAATGAATATGATGTTGAATTAGATGATCCTAATAAAATTGACAACTAAGAATTATTGAATGATAAAATGTTAAATGCTGTTTATGAAAGTTAAGAATAATCAATTAATTCTAATCTAATATATTATATGGTTTAAGAATTAAGAAATCATATGAGAATATTTCCAGCTAATATTGCATTTGAATTATATTCATAATTTCATACTAAATAGATGTAAGCAAGAGCATCTTTTAGAGGAGATTTTTAAATCAATGATTAAACTTATCTCTAAGTATTAATCTATAAGAGATGTACAGAAGAGAGGTTACCAAGTTTAAAGAAACATTCAGCTATAGGCGAATTTAGTAGTGAAACTAATAGAAATATTGTTAGGAATGATACAATACATTATAATCCTGAGGATCCTAACATGGCACCTATAGAGAAAGAAAATATTATTAAAGGTTATTTATATGGTCGAAGTTTAATACCTGTAGATAGTATAATGGAAGAAAAAATGAAATATTAATGTCCAAGAATATTTTAATTATTAGGATTTGTAGAAAGATCATAAATTCCAAGACATTATTTTATGTCTAATGTTGATATGGTAGTAGCTGTGGATAGTGAATAATCCTAGAAAACATTATCTGCATTAATAATAGCATTAATTGCTACTAAAAAAGTAGCTATAGCTAGATTTGTTGGTAGAGAAAAGGCTTCTCCTAAAATGGTGGTATTATTACCACATAAATCAAAAAGTTATTCATGTTTTTGGATGATTGCTTTACCTACTTCAGAAGATATAAGACATTTCCAATTTTAAACTCTAAGAAAATCCACTCCTAATTAATAAATTGCTGTTGCTTCATTAATTGATAAAATGGATTTAGAAAAACTTCCTAATTAATCAGGAGAACCGGAAGAATTACTTAAAATGAAATATATAGCTAATCCTACTAGATAATATTTTTAATAAGTAGTTATGCATAAAGCTATAACTAGAACTGATGTTATACCACCCATTTCACCATTAATTTTAGAATATTTACATCCTGAATAAAGAGTTTATAATTATGCCTAAGATGCTATTCAAAGAGTTAAAAATGCATTTAAATTTAAAGTTAATGAAATTAAAAAACCATAAGACAAAAAAGTATTTTGGAAATAATTATTTGATGAATAAACCACTTAATAAGTTTAATAATAAATAGAAGAAGAAGTTGTAGAAATTAATAGAGAAGAAGAAGAAATGGTTAATATGTTTGCTAAATAAAAATTAGGATTTAAAGATGATATTATCGAAGAAATTGGTTCAGTTGATCCTATTTCAGATTTTAAAAAAATGATCACTGAAAAAAGAGTAGATTAAGTTGATAGTGCACTTCAACAAATGTAAAAAGTAATAATTGGATTAGTTGATTAATCTGTTAAAGGCAGTTTCTTTCCTAAAGCATTAGAATGTTTAAAAGAAATGAGAAAAGCTTGTATTTCTGAAGATGAAGCTCCTATATTCAATAAATTCCTCTTTATTCTTAAAGATAAATACAATCAATAAATATTTTGGGCTTAAATTGTCTAATAAGGAATTACATTAATTAGTAATATTGAAAATTAAAAATCATCTGTCACTGCTGATGAAGCATAAGATGTAAAAATATTATTTTTATTTATAGTTCCTCAACAAAGAAGATAATAAACATTAATAAATGGTTGATACATTATAACATGAAGAAGAAGATTTATTAGCTGATATTGAATGATGATTATATATATATATACAATATAATATTTAAACTTTAGTTATATCACATTATTTTATATGAATTATTAAATTAAAGGCAACTTTAACTATCATCTAGATGTTCTTCCTTCTTAATTAAATGAAACCTCTAATATTACAATTAATGCATTCACATCCAAAAATAATAAAATTCCTATCGGATGCAAATTTTAATGGTTTAAAATTTCTGATACAGAACGTATTAAAATTGAAAGTCAAGGCAATATTTATCAATGTAGTATATTTGACATTGGTTACAGAATAGAAGCTAATATACAATCATTTGAATCTGGATAGGAAGGGTAAGCAGTTGTCGAATTTCAAAAAATTCAAATCTCATCATAATTGGAAATTAAACTTTCCCAATTGTATCATAATAATATGAAGTAACCTTCAGGATAAAATTAGATAATAAATCATAGCTAACGATTAAAATTGGATATTCTCACTTGATTGTTTAGAAAATAGTACATTACAACAAAAAATCATGTATTCTGATTAATAATTGTTACCCAGTTAGAATTAACTTTAAGTACACTTTGTAAATTAAATATTAAAGTTTAAAAGTAAAGAAGATAAAGGTATAAAATATTAGTAATATTTATTAAGATTCTTTTTGTGCTTTCTTTATCTCAATGTAAGCTTTAAAAAGAGTTCATATCAAATTTATTGCATATAATATTGGAAAAATTAATTAAAAATAAATTAACTTCTAAGTTCTTCTTAATTCTCAATTGTTATAATTGATTAATGAAAAGACTTAACTAGGTCCAAAAAAACTTGAAATTCAATAGACCAATTTATAATTGTCATCAAGTTAAGATAGTAGAACCATTAATTAAGTTAATTAGTTAAAATCAGAGATTAATTCATTATCAAATGATAAGAATAAATTATAAATATAAATTGACAAATTAATTAGAGAAAATAAAGAATTAGGTAATTTGAATTTGTTATTTATAATGTAGAATTTAATTCTAGATAATAGACATCATCTAGAGATCAAATTGAAAGTTTAGATAGACTTATTTAATCTTTGAAGAATGAAGTATTTTCACTAAAATAAAGAGAAACTGAGCTTATGAATCAAAATTCTAAATTAACACTTATATTAAATGAAAAGAATGAGAAGTTTGAAAATTCATTATCATAATCATAAATTTTTGATACTCAAAAAATTAAATAATATTAAGATTTATTAACTGAATCTAATTAAGAAAAATTAAAATTACATGATGAATTGAATAAAATTTAAAAATAAAATTAATAATATCAAATTAATTTGAAAAATGATTTTGAAAGAGAAAAATTAGTCTCAACAAACTAAAAATTGATATTAGAAATATAAAATTAAACTAAAATTATTAAAGATTTATAAATAGAAATTGAAATGTTAAAAAATATGAGTAGAATAAGTGTAAATATGTCTTAAATTGAAGATCCTTTAATTAAAACAAAACTTGATTAAATTGAATAAGAAAATTTATTTCTTTAAAAAAAAATAGATATTTTAGAAGATGAATTAAAATAAAAGAAATAGCAAAAACCTTAAAAATAATAACTCGATAAAGATTTATAAATACAATAATTATGCGAAGCAAATAAAAGATATTTAAATGAAAATATAAAATTGTATGAAGAAATCAGATCAATGAGAGAAAGACTTGATACTTCATCAATTTTGAATCATTCCATAAGAGAATCAAATTTGCATGAAAATCCTATAAATATTTAGTTAGAACAGTAAATAGAAAAAATGTAATAAATGCATAATTTAGAAATTTAGTAATTGAAAAAAAAACTTGAAAAAGTTACTTGTGATTAATAGGATGCATAAATATATAAAAAACAATAAGAATAGTTAGAAAAATAAAATAAAAGATTGGCTGAAGAAAACCTTTATTTGTAAGAATAAATAAAGAATTTATCTGATCTTAATTCATCAAAATCCTTCTCTATTAATGTGATCAACAGTGATTAATATAAAGAACTTGAAGAGTAGATTAATATTTAGAAAAAAAAGATTTTAGAAGTTTAATAAAGATTAGAATTTTAATTATAAAGAGATGCTTAATAATAAAATAAAATATAATAATATGAATAAGATCTATCAAAATACTAAAATTAGTTAACTGAAATTTAAAAAGGAGAAAAGCATGATGTGAAATTATTGCATGAAGATTTAAAAAACGAAAAAGAATTATTGAATATTGAAATTACTTAATTGACTTAAGAAAAAGAATATCTTACTTAAAAGATTAAATAATAGGATAATTCTATTTTTGAATTAAAACAGAAGATAATGTAATTACAAGAGGAAAATCGCACACTTATGTTATTTCCATAAAATGCAGAAACTCAATTAAAATAATAAGTGGCTTAATTGTAGTTATAAAATTAGAATTTAAATGAATAAATATTAAAATTGTAAACTTAATAAAACATATTTAAAGATTTAAGTTAAAGTCACATATCAATGAATGAAAGTATATTTGAATCAAAAGTATATGAAGGAAAAGAGTATAAACTTTTAGAAAATCAAAAAGAATTACTTCATCTTGAAAATTAACAATTAAAAAAGTAAATAAGTAAAGATTAATCAACATAACAAGAAAACTAATAATTGAAAATATAAATAGAAAAACTTAGAATATAGAATGAGACACTCAACAATAAAATTTTGGTTCCTTAAAAAGAACTAATTAACAGTGTTACTGTAAATCAAATGAAGTATGGAATAGAGAATACTTAAGTAAAAATATCATAAGATGATTCATTAATACAGAATTTAAAATTATAAATATAAAATCTTTAATTAGAAAACAGTAAATTATAACAAGATTTTACAAATTATAAATCAACTATTGGTGATAAATCATTTACTGATTAAATTAATTAAAGCCATTCCAAAAAGTAAACTTAAGAAACAGATGATTATTAAATTGTAAATTAATTAAGAATTTAATTGGCTGAAAAGTCTCACTAATTAAAAGTTGTTTCAACAAATTATTAAAAAAATAATGAAGATCTATAATAAATTATTAATAAATTAGGATAAGAAAATTAAAATATTAGTGAAGTACATAATTCAATAAAGTCAAGATTAGAAACATAAATATGCAAACTTATAGAATAACTTAAAGATAAAGATTAATAAATTATAAAACTTTCTTCTGGTATTAATAATTAATAAAATGAAATATACTAAAAAAATGGAATATAAGAATTAGAAGAAGAACTATAATAGAAAACAATTCAAATTGAATAATTAATCTAATAAAATAAAATATAAGCCTTAAAAATAAATAGTTTAAATTTTGAGCTTTAAGAATTTAAATTAAACACTTCATCTAATTCATTCAAAAAATCAAGATATACAACAAAAGAAATTGATAATAGAGAGGGTGATTCTCATCCTTAAAATTTTGAATAAGAAAATTTAGAATAACAAAAAGTTATTAATAATCTTTTAAATGAAAATTCAAAATGTTAAAGTACTATTTAAAAATTGCACAAAGAATATAATGAACAATAAGTAAAATTATAATAAAAAATTGAAGATTATTAAAAGATCTTCAAAATTTAATAATAATCATAAATAGAAATAGAAAATTTAAAAAAAGAAATTCAATCATTGAATTTGTAAGCTTAAGATTAAAAATTATAATCTACTTAAGAACTTTTAAAAGAGATTGATGAATTAAAATTAAAATTAACATAATAAAACTCAAATAATTCAAAATTGTTGTCTACAGAAAAGTAGGGAATAAATAATTAAATAGTAAACTAAACAGTATTATTATTGTAATAAAAAAATACTGAATACGAATTGAAAAATAAATAATTATAATAAGAATCTTAAGATCTTACTGCATGTATTTCTGAAAAAGATTATCAATTGAAATAACAAACATCTTAAAATTAATGTTTGGTTAAAGAATTAGATAATGAATAAGAGAAGAATTAAAGTTTCAAGAAAAAAATTTCTGAGTTAACTTTGTAGATTAAGTATAAAGAGGAAGAAATATAAGAATTGTTATTAAAAATGAAAGATTTAGAAAAATCAATATAATTTAAAGATAAAACTATATTGAATTAAAATAATCAATTAGTTGAATTTGAAAAATTAATGTCTTTTGATAAAAGTTCTGATTCTTAATTGATTACAAAAAGTTTTCATGCTTAATATAATAATTTATAGAATTAGATTTAACATTAAACTTAATATCACGATGAAGATGAAAAAATATCTTAATCCTTATCCTTTTCTAATAATTTACATTTTGAAAAGATATGTTCAAATAATAATAATAATTATTTTACAAAAGTTAATTTAGATTAAATAGATGCAAAACAATAATTAGAATTAAAAAATTAAAAATTAACTTCTGAATTATCAATCTAAACAGCTAAGATAAATACTTTAGAATAAGAATTATAAACTGTGAGAATTTAAAATGAAAAATTAAATGATTAAGTTTTATAACAGAAAGAGATGATTCTCTAATTTAAATAGGTTTAATAATAATAGCAAAATTATAATAATGTAAATGCCATTATTAGTTAGACTTAAAGCTCAAATGAATAAATGGATTTGATAAAAATTGAAAATAAAAAATTAAAGGAATAAAATTAGCAATTAGAAAAATAAGTTTAGGAACTTAAATATTAAATAGAAAGGCTTGAAATTTAAATTAAAAGTCCTAATTCAGAAATTTAGCTAATTTAATTTGAATAAGAATAAATTAAGTTTTAAAATTAAAAACTATTAGAAATAAGTATTTATTCATATAATTATATTAGTTAAATAATAATAACAATAAATTGAGAGATTATCTAAAAGTAATCTTGCTTTGATGGAAGAAAATAATAGATTGAATGACTAATTAAAAGATGTCTAAAATATAAGTTATTATAGTAGTGACTCATAAATTCATTGAAATAAGAATGAAATTAAACTCATTTCAATTTTATAAATAAATATTGATGATTTTTGCTATTTTATTTAAATTCTATAATAAATTCTTTTAATAATCTCATGATACTCTTTTCGAAAAAGATATTAACATTTAATTTCATTCTAGATCAGAATATATTTTAAATTACTTATCACTTTAATTTATATCATTAACACTTTCAAAATTTTAATTTCTATATTTTACATTATATCTTCGTATGCTTAAATTATCTTATATTTAGATATATTATAAATTTAATATTAATTGCTTATGTCCAAAGATCCTGACACAATTATCAATATATGGCAAATTTTTTACTTAAATATTAATTAAAGTTTTATTAACAAATATAATTAATTTAGTTTATATTTGATATTGAGTTATTATAATATTAATTATGTCTTTGAATTAAATATAATATTATCGAAAAATAATGTTCAATTTATGATTTGATTTTTCAATTTAATTTTATTAATCTAACTCTTTTAATTGTTTTTCTTACTTCATTATTTTATCTAATAGCTTATTTGCTTATTCTTAAAGATGAGATAATTAAATATTCATTTCTTCTTTGCCTATTATAAATCTATTTTTCTTTAATTGATTATAAATTAGGATCCCTATTAATTTAATTGATCACTTAACTTTATTTATTTTTTGATTTGAAATCTTGTAAAAATTAAATGTTAGTTATATTGATTGTTATTAGATATTTCTTCTTTATAATTTTCAATATTTTCTTCGTATTCCTTAATTTATTTTAATTATTCATTTTATAATCAATAATATACTATCATAATTGAGATAAGAAATAAAACTTTTTCTTTCATCACTTAGTTGTAATAGTTCTACTAGATTTTAATTTAAATTCACTCTCTAAATCTATATTATCATGATTAATTTATTTTAATAGTTATTAAGTATTATTTAGAATGTAATTTAGATTTGTTTTTTCAATTTATTTTTTTTTTTAATTTAAAATTTGTATTGTTTATTGAGATTCTTCTTAAATTTCAGTTTGGTCTTCTAAAATAGAAATAATATTAATTTATCAATTGATTTTTGTTATCTCTTAGATTGACCGATTTTTTTTTAATTTATTAGATAGATACTCGCTTTTATGGATTAATTTAAAAAAATGTATAACAATAAATCTTATAAGTCTTTATTAAGTTGATTTAATGGATAAATAGTATTAAAAATATTTTTATTTTTATAATTATTTCTTATTTAGTTTTTTTTTGATGAGCATATTTTATTTCAAGTTTGAAATTATTATTTTCATTATAAATAGATATAAAATATTATTTAGTTAGAATACAATGTTTTTTTTAATTTAAATGATTGTAAATGGCTATCATTTATTTAATATGTAATAAAGTTTCTTATTCTGATAATTTTTATGCTTTATTAATTTTGATAAGGTATAACTTTAATTGATATATTCTATATATAACCTTAATAGTATAATAATAATTAGTTCTTTATCTTAATATTGATTGTATAAAGGAGTAGTGTATTTATTATGTGATAAGAGATTCATGATTTCAATTTATTTGGATATATTAGAAGAAATGCGTTATCTTGAGAGTGTTTTATTAATGTATTTTTTGATAGGATAGAGTTTATTATGTTTAGTTAATTTAGCAGAAAATACGATAAATTTATAGATATAATTTTGGTATGAATATTGTCCACTTGCAATAAGTTTGATTTCTATAAAATGATTCATTTTAATAATTAATATGTTTGAAAGTAAAAGTGATTTGATAATTGAGAAATGTTTGAAAGAGAGAGTACCTGATAATTTAGAGGAATTCAATTTTTAAATAGAGGAATGGCTATACAAATAGAAGTAGAATAGAGCTTTGTTTATAAGTGAAGAAGATGGAAATGATATATAATTTGTATTATCACATTGGATGTAAAAATTGAATGTAAAATTTGATAATGAATGATATAGAAAGATATGGTTATAGCTTATTTTGTAGAGCATGAAAATTAGAATTATGCACATGCAATATATTATATGTTATCAAGATTAAAAGTATATATATAATAATTGAAATATTTAGGGATTATTTAATATCTCATAGAAAGTAGAAATAGAAGGTGAGAGATTAAAACAGTTCTTTTAATATTGGTTAGAATTCTATAATAGGGAAATATAAAATTAAGTACTTTTCGATTCTAAATGTTTATATAAGAGAGTATAAAATGACTATTTAAATATTTAGTTGATTCTAATATTTTAGGGTATAGATAGATTTCGTGATTCAAATGGTGAAATAAGAGCATCATATTGGTTACCTAAGACTCTTCCAGATAATATCAAAGTTATTGTCACTGCTAGAATGGATTCAAAAGCTTATGAGTATTTTAATGATTTAGGTGGATCTATTATTAAGATGTATAATATTAATATATATAAATTTTAGTGATTGGAACAAGAAAGAATGGTTACAAACATTTTCTTAATATAATTCTCTTTACGTATCAATAAGACGTAATTTCATTAGAAGATCTATCGAAAGTTCCCTTTGAAGTTATAAGACTAGACTCTATTTAGCATGAGTTTCGAAGCCATCTTCACTAATTCAGCAGAAGAATATTCAACTATCAATCAAGATGTTCTTATGCATCTCGAAAGTAACTTTGTATTTCATTAAATTTAGGTGTTAAATCAGAAAATGATTTTTATATTCTCTTAATCTCAACTTTCATTAAATATTATCATGAATAACAATACACATAAATCTTATGCATTTTAAGTTATGTTTTCAGAGGTATTTCTATTGAAGAAATAACTAATACATCCAATTGTGACAAACAACATTTCTTAATTGTTTATTCATATTTCAAAGTAAATAATTAAATCTTATATAGATCTTTTTTATGGAAAAAGAAGACGTCTATTCCATTTTCAGCTTAACATTTAAAAATGCCTTAATTAACTACTTCCCTTATAATAAAACATTATTTCAATCTTTTATAGTAACAATGGAACACTCACAGAATTCTATTCGAAAAATGGAAGAATTGATTTATTAATATACTAGAGGGAAAAGATATTTCAAATTGAAAGAAATCTTAACTAATATTGAGAGTTTCTTATTATATTGTACTCCCGATCATAAATTTGAATTATGTCATTTATGGTAGATTCTAGAGCAGAATGGATATGATTTAGTTATGGAATATAATAAAGCAATAGAAAACTTTTAGGCTCTTTATAAACCTACTAACGAAGGTTTATTTTATATAATTGTACAGATTTGTAAATTTCTAAGAGAATACAGCGTCTTTGAAAAGTAATTGATGATAGTAATGAATATAGTGATCATATTCCCCCTTACAAGCATCCACAATTACGAGGATAATCAATTGAATTTGATGAAATAGGATTGTATGATGAACTAAAAGAATTAAAGATGATTGCGAAGAAAAAGAAGAAGGTTATGAATGAAGATTACTTTCCTACTTAAATTACAAATATTGACACTCTTAATATGGATGTCAAATCTAATCGAGATTATTTTATTAATTATTATATGACTCAATTTGATCAAGATTTAGTTTAAGAATATATCACAACTAAATAAGAATAATTGTTAGATAAAATAATTACCTATACAAGGAATCAACAATTCTATTATTATAAAAGGTGGATTTGGGTATAATTTCCTTGGTTGGCATTGACCCAGAAACACAATTATTCTAAATTAATAGGATAGTACAATATGAATAACATTCCTTTATAGGAAGAGTTATAAATAAATCAGAAAGCAATTAAGTTTGCATAGATTGCGAAATAAACAAAACAAATGAAGGAATATAATTGTAATATACATAAACAATAATTGTAAAGCATCTAAATTGCCATCCATAAATTCTAGTATTAGATAAAGAAGATATAGCCCATTAGAGACTTCTAGGATTACTAATATATTGAAAACAAGAGCAGATTCTGAACATACGAAATCAACAGAAAGAAGTTTAAAGAAATTCACATTCCCTTGTATATAGAAAATGCAATATTAAAAGAAATTAGATTAAATAGTTTACTAAAAGTATAATGGTATCACTACTATTTTAGTTAGGTATTAAAGAATCGATTAAAAGAATATAATACAATTAGATAGAATATGTATCCTGATCATATGAGTAATGAGACACATAAAGCTTTGGAGATGACTAAGAATTTGAGTGAATTACTTAAAAAGTAATAAGAGAACTTTTAAAGTATTCAACAAGAAATGAAAAGAGCTAATATTGTTTGGAAATTATGTTTAAATAATTAAGATTGTAATGAGGATCGAGCTTAACAATTAGTTTAACATTCTAAGAATCTTGATAGATTAATTCATGAATAAGTCGTTTAGATTAAAGAATGTAATGATAAAATTACAGATATTAAATAAAAATTAAGATCAGAAACAAAGAAATAATAAATTGAAAAGAAATAATAATAGTAAATATATAAATTAAATTTATTTAGAAGATTTACTTTTATATAAAATATACCTACATCAGCAGGAATCTTATCAAATATTGATAGTTCATATTTTTAAGATTCTTATAAAAAATAATTATAAATTAGTAACAGTCTCATAAATGAAACTAGTGAATCTAAAATTAAATTTGTTAGATTAAAAACAGGTAAAGTTGAAGATAGACTTGATTCTCATAATCAAGAACTTTTGACATAATTAAATGCTTTAGGTATAAATTAAACATAAAACAATCCTAAATTAAGTGAATTTTGTGATTAGATAACTAAAAATGATGAATTATATTTAGAAATTTAGAATAGATAATAGAGACTTATCTAATTAAAAAATTGCAAATCTGAACTTTTAATTTTTACAAAAGTAATCTTCTTATTTTGAATTGTAGATTCTATAAACATAAGAGAAACCTTAATTGTAGATGAAAGATCAATAATATTATTCTAGTTATCAATAAGATGATGTGATTAGATAAAACGAATACAAAATATAGAACTTAAAACTATTATAACAACATTTGGCTATCATCAAATTCTACAATAATAATCTATATAGATTATTTCATTCCATACGAAAACCAGATGAAAATATTGTACAAATTATTCATCTTTTGTAGAAAATGATATGAATTATTATATAAATATACTTTTCATTATATGAAGGACAATCGAGAAAGAAGTAATACTCATGTTGATTCTAGTGGGTATGAGGAAATTGTTAAAAAATATCGGAGCTAAAATTAAAATAGCATAATATCAACTTAATTGGAATCCATTTAAGAAGATGAAGTTGGTTAATCTAATTTTTCAATTGATTAAATGGAAAAGGATAGTGAAAAATGCTAACATCTTCGAAAATCTAATGATATGGATTTAGTTAATCAAAATGATTGTAATCTTTCATCTCTTATATACTTTAGCAATATTTTAATAAACTATTAGTGATGAGAAATTAAAAGAAATTAAATAAGGTAAAAATGAATGTTGTATATGTCATAAAACTGGCTCACTTATTCATAAATTAAAACAATGTAAATTTTGTGGAAATGTTATATGTAAAGAACATGGAAAGAAAAAAAGAAAAGATCCATCTAATAATACAAAATTTAGGCGATTATGTGATATATGTGAAGATAAATATATTAGATTAAGTGTTGAAACTACCTTTAAATAAAAAAAAGATTTCTTAGCTCAATAAGCATTAGAATTAGATTCGGAGTCTTAAAAACTATTGAAAGATATAAGAACTTTACAGAATCAAGTTTCAGAAATATAATAATAAAGTGTTAAAAAATAAGGAGAATATAAGTAAATATAAAATGAACTCATTTTCAAAACTTAAAAATTAGAAAATGAAACTAAGGCATTTTAAGAGGAAAATCTTAAATTAAAATAAACTATACAATCAATCAAAAAAGAATTGCAATAGTTGAATGATAAACTTAATGAAAAGAATTTGGATTCTTATAAGAAATAATAACTATTACAATAAATTGAATAAGAAATTTAATCTAATGATATTGAATGTTAAAAAATGATGATAGAAATTGAAAAATTGTAATTGAATATCCAATCCAAGAAATAAAAAAATAAATAACAACACTCATAAAAGAAAATTCAAACTTAAAAACCAGAATTAAAAAATTACTAAGAATATATCCTAACTGATGATTAACCAAGTATTTAATAATTTAATCCTTATATAAATGATAATAAAAATTTAAGTATCAATAACAGTTAGAATACAGAAAATGATCTTGAACCTGAAATATCAAAAAACATAAGAAATAAATAAAAAAATGAATCAAAAATAAACGAAGAAAAAAGTTGTTGTAAGATCATGTGAATATTATTATTTTAATAATTAAATTATAATATAATAATAGTCAATCGTTTTTGATATTTAAGAAATCATAAACTTTTTCAATTATATTAATATCCTAAAATATGTATTAAATGTTAGTAAGCATATATTCAATTGGTTTTCCACTAATTTTCTATTTCTTTATAAAAATATAATACATATCTAAATAATTTAGTTAATTCATCAGATTGTGAATTAGCCATATGTAGAATAAAAGATATAGTATTCTACATAACCTCTAATAATTCATATTACTTCATTAAATGACCTATCATATAAACATAATCTGTTTTTGTTAAGAGATAATGATACAATCTCTCATTAGAATATTTTCTAATTAATTATTTTAACATTTGACTAATGTAAATAAAATCGTTTTTTTCAAGTTCTTATTCATCAAGTGCCAAAATAGTATTAAAAATTTCAGATGTAACAACTTCAGTAATTACATAATCATTCTTAAGAAAACATATATTTGCTGTTATATAAATAAAAGCAGTTTGATTTTCTCTCATTTCAAAAAATAAATTACTCAATATCTTTAATAATCCATGTTATAAGAATTAAATAGTTCCTTCATCTGAATCTTCAACTATTTTTGTAATTATAGATATTGCAGTAAGATTTTTCCTCTCCAATTTATCCATTATCAAATTTATGAATTTATCATTTGTAAGTAGATAATTAATAGAATCTTTATTATCTTTTTCACATGAAATCATTGCTAAAATAATTTATAATGTTGATAGCTCTGTATCTTATTCAATAAATTTTATGCATGTCATAACTAATTACTTATACTAAACATTTATAGATAATATATTACATATTATGATGCTTGATTTATATAACTTCCAAGTAATTCTACTATTTAAAACCATTCTTCAAATTTATCTAATAGGAGTGAGATTTCTACTAAATAAGATACAAAATCACATTATTCTATTAAATGATCTACTAAATTGTTTTATGCTATTTTATTTAAAAGTACAATAAATTATTATACTAAATCACTATTTTCAAATCTCTAAATTTGAGATAGCAAATATGGATTTAAACATTCAGGCAAGTAAATCTTTTAATATATGTTTAGAACCATTTCTAAAATATGAGGATCGCAAGTCGTTGCAATCTCACCAAGAAAATTAATGGTATTTATGGACTTAAGATTAGCACTATATTCTGACTAAGCATATTAATTTATTTTTATTAAGTAATTTTCACATTCTTAGAGGTTTCCTCGATTGTAAAGCTCTAGTGCATATTATGCTAGTAATTCAAGGTCCTTGAAATCATTCACAACACCCAACCTTATTTTGAACAAAAATTGCGCGTTTCTATTAAAATGTATTTTCAATTCTTTTTCTACGAATTTCAACATGGAATTTATTCCTTTTCTCCTATAGTAAACATTAAGCTAACTCGGCTGTCAAATACATTCCAAAATTCACTAATATTTTTATTATTATTATTTAATCATATTCATTTATATAAAATTTCAAACATTTTTCATTTTTTCTGAATCAATTATGTTGATTTACATTTTTTTATTTTATTTATAAATTTTCTATCTATGTTTTATAATACCAAATTTTATTCTCTTAAAGTCATAGTTTATTTCATTATTATTTTTTCATTTCCCTTTCAAATTCAATTTCAATTGTGTCTATTTTAATATCAATTACTTTTTGATGATAATCTAAATCAAAAATTCACTTATTCAAATAAGTTTCTTATTCTCTTATTAACTCTAATTTAATTCAGCTATTAAATAACATTTTAGTTTCTTTCCAAAAATAATTTATATATATATCTCTTCTTTCCAATTAAATTAATTTTTACTAAATATAATTAATGTTTTTTTTGTATAATATATTTGAATATCAATATGCTTAATTTTTGGTAGAATTTTTTAGTTTTATAAGATTTTTTTTCCATTTCTTCATATTGTACCATAAAAATATAATTTCATAATTTTTTTAATTTTGTTTACTATTCTAGATATATTAAATTATTCAATTTTTACATTTGATAATTAGTATAAACCTTATTTTAATATTTTATTTTAAATTAATTTATAAAATGTGCAAGGTAAAAATGTTTACTCTATCTTAATTGTTATTTATCATGTTATTATTAGATTGTTTTAATATTTTACCTTAAAGATTTTAGTTGTAATTCTTATTCAAATTAATTTTATGAGTATATCTATTTATACTATCCAATACAATGATATCAGATTGAAAATATTAGGCGTTCAGTCTTATACTATTCAAAATAGATATTAATTATTAATATTTCAAGTTTATTATTTGAACTTCTTGATTTAACCTTGTTTATTGTTTCTTTTGAATTTATATTATTTATCTTTGATGAAATGAAATAGATTTTGATTTTTAACTCATAATATCAAATTTTAATGAAAATAATCTGTTTATTTAAATAAAATATAAGTTATGATTAATTTAAATAATTTTGAGAAGTATGCTGTATAAATTTAAAGATGAATATCAAAATTATACATAATTTTATATCATTGATATTTAAATCCATTTTAATTCCCAAACAATAAGGGTTATTAATTTTCTGTTAGTAGATAAACATTATTGAACTATACAATAGCACTTTGAGTATTAAATTCAATTGAATTAGGTAATTCTTTTGACTTTTATAGAGTTTTAGTCTTTAGATTAAGAATCTTATTATAATATAATATAAAATACCTAAGTTTCATTGCTTTTGACATCATGTACAGATCCACCTAAAATGAGAATCTAATCATAAGAACTTCTAATGGCACAACTATTAAAAGGCAATCTCAAATATCCATTGGATAAGAATTTGAATTCAATTTTAGTCTAAAAGAAATGAATATATAAATTTAATACCCAAGAATTCTTCTAAATATCATATGATTCAATAGAGTTACATGGAGTAAATATATCACATTTACCTCCTATTTTAAATATTGTATTTTGATCAATAGCTACTAATGCACATCCACTACATTTAAAATAGGGATCTTCAATAGTTTACCATCTCTTATTAGTTAAATCTAGTTTTTCAGCCTTAGCCATAGATGTATTTTCATCATTTGTTGATGATCCACCAACAACAAATACGAAATTATCAACCTAACATGCAGATGTCATTGCTCTAGGTAAAACCATTTCTGAATGTAAATTTAATTATAAATTTGTATGATTAAATTCATAAACTGAAGCAATAGCTTTAAATCTTGATTTATCTCTATCAACTCCCCCAATAACTAAATGTTTACCTGAAGAAGTTGTATATAATCTATGAAATAATGGGACTTTTGTAGAACTATTAATGGTTTCAATTCTATATTGTTAGGATTGAATATCATAAATATATGCAGCATAACCTCCTTCTTCTAATCTTACCAGAACTTAAGGTTTACCATCTTCAAAATGATTTGAATTATTTATTTAGTATTTAGCTTCATCATTTGTTAAACTATCAGAAATCAAAGTTATTGGATTTACTAGAGGAGGTGGTATTTCAGAAATATGAGTTAATTTCATTGTAGATTGATTTAATTTATCTTCTGGTTTAGGATTCTTATTTATTTTTGGATTACTTGTTTGTTAATTATTTTGGAATTAAGTATTCTTAACAAAATAGCACATTTTTTTACAGTATGTCTAAAACAATTCAATATTATTTTTATCAAATATGATTTTGATTTATGATTATTAATAATTTTAAATTAATCTTTCTAAAGAAGTAAGACTCTTATCAGAAAATAACTCTTATTTACCATCACAGATTTAGATGACTGCTCTAACATAGTTATCATTATGTAAATCCTCTTATAATTTGATAAGTTTTGTTTATTATTAGAAGATATCTTATTCTATTTAAGTTAACTATTTTAAATATTCTTCTTAATTTTATTCTTTCAAATCTTTGTACAAAGATTCAAAATAGTCATCAACAATATTTGAGATTTATTCATGTATTGATCTCAATTATTCGAGATTATTATTATAAATAATTGATGGTTATTCTGAGAAATACTTCTTTGAATCTTATAATTTAAATTACAATAATTTAGAAAGTTCATCTATTTTATATGTGTTATCTTTTCTGACTCTTTGAATATTTTCTAATTTTGGGACTCTTCCTTTTTATGAGTGCATTTATAGATGTTCGTTAATACATTCAGGACATAGAGGTTCAATACAATTCTAAATTAGATTGAAATAAAAGTATACTTAATCCTAACATAGATTAGTAATAAAAAATTCAGGATGAGTAGGACATGGAACATACATGAAATTAGCAAATTAAGTCATATTTGACATTTTGCTAGTATTATTGATGTTAACTTCTCCTAAAATACTACCTAAATCTGATTAATCAACATTAACAATTTTAGATTTAACTTATTAAGTGGTTGGTAATTTTTTATGATTCTGAATAGTATAAAAATATGTTTACTTGTTCATTTTCTTGAGTATGTTATCTTTCATTGGGAGAAACATATCTTTTAGATGAACTCTGACTACGACTATCATTAATGGGGGATTGAGACCTATTCATTAAAATTCAAATTTTATAATATGTTAAATTTAATATTGATATTAGTTTTCGAGATTAGTTCTCATATACTGGAAGTTTATTATTAATTGGAAGGTCATTTATGTATAAATCATCAGATAGCTGACATTGAGATTTGAAAAGAATTAGTTAGATGATCATTATAATTGTATATCCAATTATATTTAATAATTCAATGTGTTTATGGGGAATTAAGAAAATCTATATTACGTAACACTTAAAAATCAACTTTATATATTCTGACAATATTATTATGGCCATTCCATGAAGCAAATTTAGGAGGTGGAAAAATTGAAGTTAATTATTAATACAATCTTATGATAAAGGAATTTATATAACAAATGATGAGTAACTAGTAGGAAATAAAATGATTTAGCTATTGTTTTATAATTTTTAAGTATTGATTTATACATAAACAGTATTCATGATAATGTATTATATTTAAAATCTAGACTATTAAAAGATGATAAACTTTTCTATGTGCTTAGGAGATCCCTGGTTTAAAGGTAAACTCTTGCATTTAGAAGATATAACCTTCTAAGATGTTCCTTTCTTATGTATTATATATTTAATTAATGATGTTATTATTATATTCATTTTATTTATTCTCAAAACAATTAATTATATAGATATAATAATTGGAAATTAGTAAATTAGTCAAATTTCCAGGATAAATAAACTATTCTATTTAAGATGTAATGGATGCAATTATCATTAGACTTTAAGTAGTTGTAAATAAGGATGGCATTTATTTATGTTCATTTTCAGAAATGATATTCGGATTATATATCCATAAAAAATGGAGGGTTAAGTCTAACTTAAGACTTTTGCTCGCGAGTAGATGAAATATATTAAGAATTAGCTAAAAATTATTGATTCTTTTTATTTATTTATAGAATCATATTTATAGAATCATATTTAGTATCATTGTAGTCTATACTCAATTATCTATTAATTTTTTATATATAGACAAAACAATAACTTTATTTCATATTTAAATCAAATACTTCCACTTCTATTACTAAGTCAATCAATTATAATCCTAAAAAATATAAAAACAAATGTATTTTATTCATCATTCAATATTAATAACAACACAAAATAAGTATTCATTAAATGGATAGGAAAACCTATTACAGACTTGATATTGTAATACAAAGTTAGATTCAAATTTTGTCATTTCAATATCTCTAATAACATAAACAAACAATTAGATATCCAGTTTATTCAAATTGTGAATAATAATTAGTATAAATGTATGTTGCTAAAAAATCAAGTAATCATTATATTCCAAAATAAATAAGAAATCAAATCCTTGATTCAAAAAGCTCATAAAAATAGTTCTGCAAAAGGATTAAATTCTTAAGATTAAAAATAAAAAAACCACCTTTATTAAAATAAGAAAGATTGTGATACACATTTGCATTACTATAGGATAGAAATTCTGTGATGAAATCTATGGCAATATAGATCCTGCCCTTTAATTCCTCAAAAAATGATTGATTTATAGACCCCCCCATAGTTATGATCTAAAAGAAGAATTATTACGTAAAAATTAAGAAAACTGTGATTTGTAAATTAATTAATCATTATGACATTATATTGTATTTAAAATTTAACATCAAATGGAGGCATTTTTTGATTTCAGGTAATCATACTCCAATACTCTAGTTATTTTGATGATCTTAGAAAAATTTGTTCGTAGGATACATACAAAGAAAAACTTAGACTCTTTCTATTTAATCCATATTTGGAAATAAAGGAACATTAAGAGATAGTGGATCTCTTTATTGAATATGTATTATGTTTTATATTGCTTATAGGCTGAATTGTCTAAAGAATATGGGATCACTTTTGAGCATATGATTAATCATAATATTGGAATTAAGGAACCCTAATTCTATCATTACTTTTTCAATAAACTTAAAGAGATCAATTACAGAAAAGCTCTATAATGTATTTAAATGGCCAAGCAGTATAATTTTATATATTATTATAAAATAGATTTTGCTATTCAAATTTTGAATAAATTGATAGTATGAACAAAGATTTAGAAAACATCCTTCTTTTCTAATTCGAGTCTTACTATCAATCTAAAAATTACTCCAAAAAATAAATTGAAGATAAACTCAAACAATTTGAACTTAAATTTTATTAATCTAAAAATAAGAGAATCCAAATCCACATTGATGAACAATATAGAAAACTTGATCTCAAAGCTATTATTCATGAACTTGAGTCTTTCAAAGAAAATAAATTTAATTCCCATTCATCCACTTAAATCCCAATTTCATAATCTTATTATTTGAATCCAGAAGAATAGGACTTTAACAATTAATTAGAATCTAAGGAATTCAAACTCATCAAACCCAAATTTCAAAACAATCGCAGCAATCTTTAAATCAATACACAATCCCCTAATTTCTCAAATGATATTGCTGTTTCTGAAGAAATAAACAAACTAACTCCTATCAGTTCTTCATCGACATCCAGTAGATATATTTTTAAATTAAATCATAACTATAATATCAAATCTAATTAATAATAAAAATTAATCATACCCATACCTACTATTAATTAATAAATTAGTCCATTAAAATCATTAAATAGAATGAAATACAAAAGCATACAAAAACTAAGATAACTTATCTTTGAAGATAATGCTCAAAGTTTAGTTAAAGAACCTTTAAAATTTGATTCACCTCAATGAAAAATTTATTAAACTCATATACTATAAAAAAAAATAATTTATTTAATTATGTATTGCTTTTTTTAAACAACCACAAAAACCAAAAGAAATTATTTTGAACTTAATTCCGTCAGTTTATAATTGTATCCTTAAGAACTTTAAGTCTTAAAGGATCTTGATGAATTGAGAAATAAAATTATTTTAGGAAACTTTTAAATTATTCCACAATATTTAGAAGAATACATCAAAAAATTAGTATTGAATTTCAAATATCATTAGAAACCTGTTCTTAACAAATATGCACTCTTCAATCCATAATTTACTTATTAACCAATCGTAAGTGGTTGTTTATTGATATCACCCCAAGGTAATATTTAATTCTATATATAAGATTCCCTAGAAGCATTTGAAACAGATTATGTAATGTTAATTTACACATATTGTTGTGGTAGTTTATTAGATGGTTTTGAACAAATCAAAAATATTAGATAAGCTATTTTAGACGAAAAAAATGCGAATCCCAATGATGTAGATATTGTTTTAAAAAAAATCAAAATTGCGTATGCTTACCTAAAACACATTAAAAATGATTCATTAAGTTTACTACCAAAATTATCTTCAAGAAAAGTTTTCGATGTCGAAGAATTTAGTTCATAATTCTTTATAAGATATAGTACATATTATAATATAATGGCTAATTTAATTTATTTTGAAAAAAGGTCAGAAACGAATTAGGACTAAGAATTAATGAAACGATAAAATTTATGTAGCACGATGTATAAATTGTTGCTTTCTATTGGAAACTTGGGTTCAGATAGATTAGGAATATATTTAACTTATTTATCAGTATATTTGAAATGTTTAGGATACAAATGTATTGTTGATAGATATCTGTATAACATCTAAAAGGAGGATTATAGAGAAAAAAGTATTATAAATTTAATATATTTTAAGATTTTACAATTATGATCTTAGAGTTATTGTAATTATGTCAAGAATTAAAATAAATTTGTTTACTGATATTAAATAAAAATTTAAATGAGGATTACATAGATGTGTTCAAAGTATAGGCAAAGAGATGGATTTCATTTTCAGATCATCAAATTAGGGTGCATTCAGGAATAGCAAGAAATCCATAGCCAGTTCCACCAAATGAAACGATTTTCTTAAATTCAGGCTATTTTAATTGTTTGGATTGATGAATTTAGAAAGTTACTAATTTTAATTGGTTTTTTTTTGACTTTATTCTATAATATCCTAGATTAGTATTTAAATAAAAAAAAATTTAAACAACCATTAGTATAAAGTTTAAGATGGATATCTAGGTGAAATACGAAAATGAATAAACAACATTTATTGGAGTGCAGTCATATGAAGATCTATTACAAGAAATCTAATAAAAGTATCCTGTCTTGATGAATATTGAATTGTGTTATTTAGATGAGGAAGGAGACACAATTCAAGTCTCAAATACCAGTGACATAATAGCAATAGTAATAGTATTAGGAATAATTAATAGACAGATTTTTCTAGAGTGATTCTTTAAATGGAAGCATAAATTGATTAATAGAAAGTTTAAGAATTAGAGAGAGCCAGAAAAATAGAAGAATTAAAATAGAAACGACTTGAGGAATAAAGGAGAAAAAAGTTAGAAGTAAATTAATGGATAATAATGATTAGGAAATACAAAAAGAAATGAATAAAATTTAAGAGTTAAATCAAGAGAAATTCTTTATTGAAAATTAGATTGGACATTAAATTGAAGAACTTAGAAATCGATAGGAGTAAATGAGGGATTTTAAAGTTTAGCCCTTGGCTGATTTTCAGCAAGTTTTTTATGAATCAAATTTATTTGATTTAGTAAGAGAGAAAGAGTCTGAATTATTGTTATTAGAAGTATATATATTTATATGTTTTAGGAGAAGAAAGGATTTGATACTTAATTAAAGACAATCTAGAAAGAAGTATAGGATGCATTTGAGAAGCTGTTTACAAGAAGAGCTCTATAACATTAAGAAAATTATGCTAAATACCTTGATAACAAACAAAAGATGAATAATATTAACTAATAAATTTAGTAATTGAATAATGAGAGATAAGATAAACTATTAAAATTGGATGAGAGACTGAACAGACTAAAAGAAAATGTGTCAAAAATGAGAGCAGAATTAAATCTACCATAAGAGAATAATGATAAATTTTGATACATTTTATATTAGATAGATTTGAGTCTTATGTTATAAAATAATGAAAAAGTGTGAAAATTATAAAACTAATTTAGAATTAAGAGTGAAATGTGAATTAAATACAATGAAATCCGTTTTTATAATATTTTATTAAAAATGAGAAGTTCGGCATTAGTAATATGCATGCTAGTGTTGGGAAGTGGTAATATTGTATTTCATTCTAGCCCTATCTGCTGAATTGGATTTGGGTACATCCTTATTATCAATGGATTTATCTGATATAGCCCTTCTGGATACTACAACAATGAGTTGTTCAACACCCTAGAATGAATTTGAAAGAGTTTCTGCCTAAATGGCAGCTTGGGCTGACATAGTTCAACATAAGGATTCCTTACATAGAGATATTGATAGATTAGAAGCCATCAAAGAGCTCATTCAAAAGAGAAAGTTTAAATCATTAGAGAAATAGTTGGATAAATTGGAATTGCCAAAGACTGAAAGTAAAATTGGAGAGCCAATTTTGGCAGAGTTCAGACAAAGGCTTAAAGGATTAAGTAATCCAGAAACTGCTGATGAATGTGAAGCAACTTTACTAAAATTATGCATCTATCTTCTCAAGCAATTTAACAGTTGCAGATAACAATGTTAATCTAATCCAGTGACTGTCATCAAAATCAAAGGAAAAATTAAGGATTTACAAGTTGTTTAATAAGGTTGTGGATAACCTGCACCTTGTGAAGATGAACCAGGAATACCTGAAGAACCAGTCCCTGAAATCCCAGATGAAAAAGGACCTGAAGAATAAGATGTTCCACCTGAAGAATAATAAACACCACCAACACCACCTGAAGAAGGAGAACCTGAAATTCCAGATGAAAAAGGTCCAGAAGAATAAGATGTTCCTCCTGAAGAATAATAAACTCCACCTACTCCACCTGAAGAAGAAGAACCTGAAATTCCAGATGAAAAAGGTCCAGAAGAATAAGATATTCCNTGAATTATTGTTATTAGAAGTATATATATTTATATGTTTTAGGAGAAGAAAGGATTTGATACTTAATTAAAGACAATCTAGAAAGAAGTATAGGATGCATTTGAGAAGCTGTTTACAAGAAGAGCTCTATAACATTAAGAAAATTATGCTAAATACCTTGATAACAAACAAAAGATGAATAATATTAACTAATAAATTTAGTAATTGAATAATGAGAGATAAGATAAACTATTAAAATTGGATGAGAGACTGAACAGACTAAAAGAAAATGTGTCAAAAATGAGAGCAGAATTAAATCTACCATAAGAGAATAATGATAAATTTTGATACATTTTATATTAGATAGATTTGAGTCTTATGTTATAAAATAATGAAAAAGTGTGAAAATTATAAAACTAATTTAGAATTAAGAGTGAAATGTGAATTAAATACAATGAAATCCGTTTTTATAATATTTTATTAAAAATGAGAAGTTCGGCATTAGTAATATGCATGCTAGTGTTGGGAAGTGGTAATATTGTATTTCATTCTAGCCCTATCTGCTGAATTGGATTTGGGTACATCCTTATTATCAATGGATTTATCTGATATAGCCCTTCTGGATACTACAACAATGAGTTGTTCAACACCCTAGAATGAATTTGAAAGAGTTTCTGCCTAAATGGCAGCTTGGGCTGACATAGTTCAACATAAGGATTCCTTACATAGAGATATTGATAGATTAGAAGCCATCAAAGAGCTCATTCAAAAGAGAAAGTTTAAATCATTAGAGAAATAGTTGGATAAATTGGAATTGCCAAAGACTGAAAGTAAAATTGGAGAGCCAATTTTGGCAGAGTTCAGACAAAGGCTTAAAGGATTAAGTAATCCAGAAACTGCTGATGAATGTGAAGCAACTTTACTAAAATTATGCATCTATCTTCTCAAGCAATTTAACAGTTGCAGATAACAATGTTAATCTAATCCAGTGACTGTCATCAAAATCAAAGGAAAAATTAAGGATTTACAAGTTGTTTAATAAGGTTGTGGATAACCTGCACCTTGTGAAGATGAACCAGGAATACCTGAAGAACCAGTCCCTGAAATCCCAGATGAAAAAGGACCTGAAGAATAAGATGTTCCACCTGAAGAATAATAAACACCACCAACACCACCTGAAGAAGGAGAACCTGAAATTCCAGATGAAAAAGGTCCAGAAGAATAAGATGTTCCTCCTGAAGAATAATAAACTCCACCTACTCCACCTGAAGAAGAAGAACCTGAAATTCCAGATGAAAAAGGTCCAGAAGAATAAGATATTCCTCCTGAAGAATAATAAACACCACCTACTCCACCTGAAGAAGGAGAACCTGAAATCCCAGATGAAAAAGGACCAGAAGAATAAGATGTTCCACCTGAAGAATAATAAACACCACCTACACCACCTGAAGAAGAAGAACCTGAAATTCCAGATGAAAAAGGACCAGAAGAATAACATGAAGAAGGTGAACCACCTGTTGAACCAACTCCTGAGGAACCAAGTCCAGAAGAAACAAATCCAGAAGAAGAAAGTCCAGAAATTCCTGATGAACCACCTGTTAATCCCAATCATGAAGAATCACCTGAAGAATCTGCTGAAGAATGGGTTGAAGAATCTGAAGAAGAATTTGAAGAATTTGAAGAACCACCTATTGTTGCTCCACCTATTGAACCACCTAGCATTGTTGAAAAAACTTGTTTGAATTCAGTCAGCGAAGTTGTTTATACATCATCTGTAGATGAAGCCACACCATTAATCAACAAATAATTAGAAGGTGAGGATTTGAGTTGTTATGGATTTGGATTTTACACTAGATGGCTTTAAGCTTATCCAACATTCTTGGTTCATGGAAGATAATCTGAAAAATATTTTGTTGCAAGAGTTTCTGAATCTGAACACACTACTGGAGAAGTAAATGATAATGCTTTGAGTGTATATTTAACTAAGGAAGGTTTGGAATTCTCATCATATGACAGTTAAGGATTATCAACAACAGTAGTTTAAGTTGGTGATATAGAAGGTAAATGGATTTATGTTTATTATTCTTATTGCAATGAAAAAGCTGTTGCAGTAGTGAATGAAGATGGATAAACAACAATAAATGAAATAAATGTAAGTCATGAAAAGCCATCTTAATTATATTTCTAATTGGCTGGTAAATAAGGTGATGTTCCATCATTTTAGGGTTAGTTTAGATTGGTTTAAGCTCATGCTGGTTAAAATGTATTTATAGAAACAGAAGCTGAAGCAAATGATTTTGTATTTGCTTGTAATCACTTAGATGAAGAGAAATGTGATAGATAAATATCAAATCTTCATGAATTTGAATTCCATGGTGCTGATTCTTAATTTGATTCATCATCAGTAATCGAGAACTCTGAACCAATATTTGCTCAAGAGTATTCAGTTTCAGGTTGGTTTAAATGGTATCCAGTTTAAAATCCTGAATCTTGGTATTCAGCTTTTAGATTGACATTAAATAATTTGGCAGCAAATTAAAATGCTAAATAATTGGGAGATAGAGATTTGGCATTATTTGTAGGAAGTGAAAAGAAAGATTCAGTATTAGCTTTCACAACATACACTTATTCGGATTTATATGGAAATGGAAACCCAACTTATTGGTAAGCAATCCCATATGAGAAAGATTTGGTGCATTGGCATTATATTTACTTTGGATTTAGTAGACACATTTCAAAAGCTTATGGTTATGTTGAATTCTTCACAAGAAAAGGAGAAGTTCATTTTGAAAATGTTAAACATTTTGATGCTCCTCATAAATATTTATATGTTGGATAAGATTAATTCTATAAATCTTACAGTGGTAAGATCTTTAATTTACATTACAATCTTTGTGATGGTTCATACAGAGAATTGAAATATGATGAACATTGGGGATATACACCAAAACCAACTGACCCAGTTCCACCTCCTCCAGCTCCAGTACCTGAAATTCCATCAGAACCTTAAAGTGAAGAAGAATGGGTTGAACCACCTATTCCAGAAATTCCATCTGAACCTGAAGATGAAGTACCTTATGATCCAGAACCTGAAGAATAATTACCACCTTCTGTGAGTGAAGAAGAAACTCCAGTTGAACCAGAAGAATTACCATCACCACCTGATGAAGAAGAACCAGAAATTCCTGATGAACCATCTGTACCATCAGAAGAAACTGAAGAAACACCTGTTGAACCACCTATTGAACCACCTGTTGAACCAGAAGAAGAAACACCTGAAGTACCAGAAGAACCTCCTGTTGAACCACCTGTAGAACCACCTGTTGAACCAGAAGAAGAACCACCTGTTGAATCAGAAGAAGAACCAACACCTGAAGAAGAGGAAGAACCTTAACCTCCTGCTCCAGTACCTTAACCAAAGTATTTTTATTATTTTTTATTTTTATTAGATGTCCACCAACCATTGAAGTCAATAAAGATAATGCTGCTGATATCTTATGTGAATTATCACATTATTTGGGAGAATTTGCATAAGGTCATGTTCCAGTTGCTGGACCAAGCACCAAAACTGTTTGCTTCTGTATGACCTATAATGAAGGTAATTATTTTTTATTTATTATTAAGATTATGCTCCACCAACTTTATTACAATTAGCCTCAAAGATTCCAGGACATCTATCCTTGAATGAACCTAAAGTAGCAGTACCATTATTGAAGAAATTCATCAAACAAAGATTATGAATATTTTTAATATTAAAAATGGCTAATCAAATAGATACAATTTCATTTGCTACCTTATCAAAATTTCATTAACACAATCCTTCCTTCGATTCTCATCTAAACAATAAAATTAATCGATATCCTTCAAATCTTGATCTCCATCTAATTAACAGAGAAATTTATTTCATAGCAGATTATGCATTAAAATTAAAATTAACTACTCAAACAAACTCAGATTTATACAAATACATTATTAGAATTGCAGAAATCAGTATAAAAGCTGAAGAAGTTGATAACAATAAGAAATTATTAGATGATTTAGTCGAAGAATTATCAATCCTTCTAACTCACTCTTTGAAATCAAAAACTATTCAATTATTTCTTATCAGATTAATTTATCTATATAAAAAAAAATAATCAAACTTTAATAATACTCAAACAGATATCAAAAATTCTGCGTTATTTTTTAATAATTAACTTAAAAATCAAAATAATATATTTACTAATCTTAATCAATCCTCAAGTGCTCATAAACATTATTTTAAATCATAATCTCCTGTTTAACAAAATTCAAATTCCAAGATTTTTTAACTTAGATAACATGATATTTAAAATCATTTGATTGAAGATCCAAATAATTTTCAAAATGAGTATTTCAAAGCCATATTATTTCCACCGATGATTTCTCAAAGATCAAAAAACTGTTATCTAAACAAATATTGAACTTTTTTATGTTATAATTTTATATACTTTTTAAATAAGTATACAGATTTTATTTCTTTCAAAATATCATTAAATGGAAAATTATATATAAAATAATAATAATTATATATTAATAAATCAATTATTGTTTGGATTACTTTGAAACATTTTTCTTATTTCTTCTTACTCTTAAAAATTGTATATTAAAGTTAAATTATTGATTATAGTATTTTAGAGAGGTCTATTAAGAGTTGTTGTACTCTAATTGAAAGTCAAGCAAACACAATATAAAATTATAGCCATTAATACTAAACCAGCAGAAACTCCTATGATGATATAAGGAGCATCCTTAGGATATACCATCCAATATGGCAATATTTCAATACTTTCAACTTATATATTACCTGATACAGAATATCCTGAACTCAAGTTTTAGGATGCTGTATTAGTAGTTTATAAAATCCTTCTTAATAATATTCTTCTACCATCTGTAGGATAATTATCTTCCAAATCTCTTTCAACTAATTAAGCTGTGATTTAAATTGTGCAATTTTAAACAGCAAATGGCACAGTAAATTTATATATTATCGCAGTCATATTTTTTTCTTATTCATTTTTTATTTTTAAATTTATAAATGTGCCATTTCCTAGAGCAATAGCACTAACTAATTGAAATTTGAAATCTGCTCCAAAATCCTTATATTTGTTATCCAGCATCACTAAAATATAGAATGGATCATTTAAATATAACACTTGTGGTTCATTGTGAAATGATCTACAAGATGAGCTTTAACATAAAATAACCTTCCCTTCAACTTTTGTAGATGCTTCACCAATATAAATTGATTAAGACAATACTCCAAATTCAATTTAATCAGATGAAATTTCACTTGCAACTAGAATTTGACTTGCATTTGGATAATAAAATTCTTAATTCCATGTTATATTTACTAAATCTACAGAAGTATTGTTTAAAAATAAATAAAATTCAAAAAGACATGAATATCCAGTTTAGTTGGAGATTGGAAGGTTTTCTGAAAATTAACAACCAGCAGTTTTTAAAGTATTTTCAAAAATTCTAAATCCATATTAATAAAGAGATAAGTTTGGATTTGACCCATCAATAAAATAACTTTCGGCTTTGTTCATTACGAATTTCACCATATGACATTCACGTATTTTAACATTTTTTAAAACAATACCATATAAAGAACTCGATTCTGATATCCAACCAACTGATATTTTATTAGCTGTTAAACTACCAGCATCATAAAAGCAAAAATCAGATACACAAACCCCTCGATAAAGTCTTCCTTTATCACATGATGTACATTCAGAAAAGGATAAACAACTACTGCATCCTTCAGAACAGATACCTCTATCAAATATTGAAATATTAGTAACTAAAAATTAGCCTGGAAGATCAGTTGCTTCAGAGAATGCTTCAAAAATAATTCTAAATGGTCTTGTTGAATTTGGTCTAATGTGAACTCTAACCTATTAATATAAATATATATACATACTTTTGTCCATGTATTTTCAGCAAGACTATTTATAGTAACAAATTAGGCATATTTATTTGTTTATTTTACTCCAGTTGTTATTAAAGTGAGATCTTCTGCAGCAATCCAATACATTTCATCATCATCATTTGTCCAACCTATCACTATTCCTGTATATGGGCTTTTTGATTATGGATGATGAACAGCAAAATAAGCAAATTCCAAAGTTACTACATCTTCATCACTTGTAAAATTTAATTTAGATTAAATTGGTTTTGTATAACAATCTCCTCCAAAGGAAAGTTGATTTATTGTCATGCAATTTTATTGCTTTGAAACAACTGGGCATGGCACAATCATGCAATTATGAGAACTTGATATATTTTATTCATATTTTGATGTTATAAATGTTGAAATATGATCTTTGAAATTAAAGAAAGTAGGTGTATTTAATATTTATCCAAGAGTTGTTTCTAATCCTATGACAATAATATAAAAAAGCATTATACTAAATATTTTTTTAATCAATCAAAAAAGATGAAGAATTTATCCTTTTGATAAAAAAATGAAATATTCTATTTGAATTATCTAAATTATTTTCTAATGACGGACAACTCAATATATTTTAGTATTATTTATCAATTTAACTCTATTAATTAAATTCAAAATTCTATTTGAATCCTCAGTTTATTTAATTAGACACTCATTTAACTTTTAAATTTTTACAATGACCAACCTTTTTTTAGCATCACTCTCTTCCTTTTTTTACCACTATATTGATCTCATATTAAATTTCGCCTATCCTAACTTAATTAATTTTAATAGTCATCTAGTATTCGATATTCTCTAAATTCCATACTATAACAATTCTTCTATTTATATATAATTTAGACATTACCTCAATTCAATCATAGATTGATAATTTCATTTTATCAAGTTCTTTTTTAGTAAAAACTGCATATTATCCATTTAATTGTATACACTCAATCATTGAATAATTTAGCTCACGACCTTGAGTCATTTTTCATATCTTAAAATTACTAAAAATATCTATATTCAGATTTAGTATTCGATTTCATATTCAAAAAGAAGTTCATAATTAATTATTATAATTTTTAAGTTATTTATCTAATCATATTTTTATTAGAACTAATTTAAGTTATACTATCATTCCAAATGTTAGAAATATTTTCTCTAATTTCAATATTAATAAAGCCATCATTCTTCTTATTTCTAGTTATTTTGTTAAAATATATGTTTGACAAATACTTAGAAATAAAGTATTCTTTTTTTCAAAAAAGTACTTTGCTAAAATATAATTTTTATAAAGATTATTAGTATATTATATTTGAAATATGTGATTTTTTTAAAATATTTGATTAAATATGTAAAATAAATGATTAGTAAATTCAAAAAATCATTAAATAAAATTAATTTATATATTGAATAATATTCATTTTGAGAAGTAAGTAAAAATTGAAATTTATTAGGATTTTAAGTAAGTTAACCTATTTTAGACTTTATGATTAAAATTGGAATGTTACTGAAGAAGAAATTAAAATTTTTCCTAATTAAGAAAAATATTCATATATTTTTTATATAACTAAATTTATGAATACTAAAATTCTCACTATAACTGAATTTTTTTATGGAGCAAAAACTTTTTCGCAATTTCTTTAAGATCAAAGATATAACTTTAAAAATCCATGTTCAATTTTATTTGTTCTACAGATTAGAAAAATAATTTTTTTTCTATTTGATAAAAATGTAATTTATCTTTAGCTGATTTGAAAAATTGAAGACTTCTTCAAAGTATTTTAGATTTTTTTGCACCATTATCTAATCAATGATCAAACTTTCAAATTTATTTAAAAGAGTATAGTTCCAATAAATCATAATAAAGTAATAATTTCAAATAGTTTATTTATAATTTGAAGGTACAAAAATAATTAAATTCAGAAAAAACAAATCTGGAGGATTTTAAAGAATATAATAATTAATATCGAGTTTTTTTTTTTTTAAAATATAATTGATAAATAATCAACTAAATTTTTTCCTTCTGGCCAAATCAAAACTAATAACTTGATACATTATATTCTTTTGAATCAATACCTCCTTTATTAATTAAAATAATGTCATCTTACATTTCAACTTTCATTCCTTTTAATTAAAAATGAAATTTCTTCATATCTTAATTAACCTTTTAATTAAATGAGGTAATTTTTTCTTCCATATTCATTTAAATTCCATCAGCATTATGAATAACATCTAATCCATCAACCAAATTTTATTACATAGAAATTATTTGAAACTTCTTCCCACCAACAGTTTTTGGACGAAATACTGATTAATACTCTTCATCTGATAATAAATCTATAAAACCAAAATTAAACTTTCCTTCATTAATTATATTGTAATCAATACTAGTATATTATTATTATTTTCCAAACATAAGAATAAATTTTCCTTCCTCAAAATTATACTTAAATTTAGAAGGAGTAAAATTTTCATTTTTTATTTATCCTAAAGCTTCTCCAAGAGCTTCATGATAAAAAATACTAGTAGTATATTTTAAAACTGGATGGTCAGAACAATAACTGCAATGGCATAATTAAAGCCCTTTTTCAGGAATTATAAAATTACATTCACGCATTTTTTCATAAAAGGAATCAAAATCAACATAAGAATGATTTTTACAATTTTTAATGATTAACGGATTTTATAATGTTTTATTAGGATTTACAGTACACTTTAATTTAGCAAACTCAACTTCTTTTATATATTTGCCATCTTGATCTTTTTTTTATTTCAAAATTTTTGTATAATTCTCTTTGCTAAATTTTTATTTGTATTAAAACTCCTCTAGCATATATAATTATCCATTATAATCAAATCGTTTAAGATTAGTAGTGTTTGACTCTTTAAACATCCTAGAGATAATATTTTCATCAAAGTAAATTAATAAATTTAGTAAACCTGTTTTACTAGTTTAATCAATTTTGCAAATTGGGCATTAGAAGAGTGTAACACCTTTTTCCTTTTTAATTTTTGTTTTAATAAAATATGCTACATATGTTCTAATGTCTGCACATTTATTAATATCGGGGCATTTTGTGCATCTAACTGGAAATTCAACTTATTTTCCATTGATAGGATCAACTAAATCAATTATTCTTTTTTTAAATTTCTCTTGATTTAATCTATCTTAAATATCTTAACTAATATCTGATTGCATAATCGATTAAATCTAATTCATTATTTAATTATAAGTAATTTCTTCAATAGCTGGGTATACATCCAAAATGTATGGATCTTTCTCTAAAAAATCTTTTTTAAAACAATTATTTTTAAGATCATATGTGAATTTAAATTAAATTGAGGGAGCAGAGTTTAATAAATTTAATAATTCTTAATCAATTACTATTTAAGACAACAGAATTTCTAAACTTTAGATGTCAATTTTAGTTGAACAACCAGGAAAAGTACAATGAAATATGATAGAATTATCATTTTAATCCTTTACTATTTGTTATTCATTGCTTGAATCTTTATTTACTAATTACTATTGCCAGTATGATAATAGACTTGTTAATTCGTAACATGATGGATGTTCGCATTTTAATAATCTTATAGGAAGAGTTATTTTAACTTTGTCTAATAAGCAATAAGCCCAAAAAGTATATAATGAATCCTGAGAGTTTTATTTCTTAATTAAATTTGATATTGAGTTTTAAGGATGATATTTATCATAAATTTCTCTTATTAAATTTCTATATTATGGATCATCAATTATGAGAAATATATCAGTAAATTTTTTTTTTCTGGTATATTTATGTGTCATTATGCCTTGCACAAATTAAATAGTATTAGTCAAAGGATGAAAAAGTTCTAGTGCTTCCCCTTTTATATCTCTTCGAAGTTAATCAATTGATAATGCCTTTTATCCACATTCACATTAAACAAACCCTTAAGTTTTTATTTATTCTATTGCTGCTTAGAAAGTTAATTTAATGTCTTATTTAGGATGATCACAGCTTTCTGTTATAACCTATTTAAATGATCTATAATACTGTTTTTGGTATCGCTTCTTATCCAGCCATTCTGATTATGATTTAATCATAAATAATTTAACCTAATTTTCTTGGCTTTAAGTCTTTGTACATAGTCTGCATCTAATAGAAATTAAAATAAATTAAATTTCAAGGATATGATTATAATATAAATTAGAAAAATTCATTTTTAAATGACAATTTGTTTCACACTTTTTTTTAAGTTTTCTTCATATACTCTTACTCTTTCTTATCTTGCATACTTTTATTCTTATATTATTTGTTTTTTATTCAATGGATTATTTATCTAACACATAAATCTAAAAAATTTGTTAAATAAATACTTTATAATTTTTTCTAAAATATTAAAAAAAAAAAAAAGCAGCTTTTAAAACTTATGAAAAAGCAAAATTGTTTTCTTAGACATTTAAAAAAAAATAGTGTTTTAATTGAAGCTTCAAATATTTTTTTGAAGGCTTTAAAATTTTCCAACTTTATTTTTATACATAATTAATAATTTTATATAATTTTGGAAGAAAAGAAAATTACAAATTTGAATGAGGCATTTTATCTCTTCATGATGATAACAAAATAGTAAAAAAAATTTAATACTCATGTTATGAAGATTTCAACAAACTCTTCAATTTTCTATTTACATGTTGGACATTTTTATAAGTTTAATTCTGATTTACAATTTTAACATAATATCATATGTTTACATGGTAAATGGATAATATTCTTAGGCTGTTAATAACAATTTTAACATTCAAAATTATTGATTACAACATGTTTTATTCCTCTTAGTTTTTTTAATTTATATAATTATCTCATTCTAAGTAATTTATATATAACAATTCTTATATTTTTTTAAAACCAATAAAATAAAAAGAGAATTGCTAATAAGAGAATGAAAATTTAAAAGTTTTTGATTCTTATTTTTGTTTCAATAAATCTTAGTAGTTATCTTTTATCTCTTAAAACATGTTTTGGATTCTATAGAAATAGTTTATTTAATTATTAATCAAAAAATATTTCTCCATAAATAACATAAGAGTCCCCTTATAATAAACCAAACTCCCTTTCTAATTGACCAATAGAAAATCCTCTGAATGGAATTTTTCCTGATCTAGCCTAATTAATAGCTCTAAGTATGAAATTTGTGATCTTCTAAAGAATAGATAAAGGTTTTGGATAAAAAATATCTTAGATATGAGTTAATGAAGCTTAACAATTAAAATTTGTGCTTCTTAATATATCAACTGCAAATTTTTTATCAGCTATGCTTATTTAAGTGACTCCTTTAGAAGTAACATTTCTCAACTTTTTTCTATTAAAATAAAAATTCAATTTACATATTGTTTGTATAAAGATCGTATATTCTTTTTTGACTCCAAATCAAAGGAAATTTAGAAATTAATGGTTATTGAGATATAAATTCTCCAGCTATAAATGCTTAAATATTAGTTGTTTTATTTTGTTTTAAATAATTGAATAACTATGTTGGTGTGAATAATTAGGCTAATTAATATTATTTATGTTTTTCATGAAGCATTTTAAGAGAACGAATTATTCTTTATAAGGTAGTCCCTAATCCTAAGATTCCTGAATAAGTTATTAGTGTTATAAATTCTTCCATATATAATTTATTAATAAAATAATATTCAATAATTAATTAAACTATCAAGACAATGTTCCATATTGAATCTATTTTAGCAATCTAATTTATATTTTAAATATTTAAGTGGATTATTAAGTAATTTTTAGTTATCTGGCATGAATTAATCATAATATTTGATACGATGATATTCTAGTTTTTCAGAAAGATTTCCTAATGGATCTGGACGAGTATTTTGTTGAGTTTTAAAATTAGTAGAATTTAAATGAGGTAATTAATAACTTTATCCTGCAGAAGAATAAGATTAATTTTATGTTTAATTAGGTTATTTATTGGTGGTTGTAGTAAATGTTTAGGGTGTTTTAGTATCAGTTGTTTATCTAATAGAATGAAGTGATATTTTATATGGATCAGATGTTGGAGGATCAGTCTATAATTCTACTTATAATTCTTAAATTTTTTATTTAAATTGTTCTATATTAGAAGTGAGATCGAATCGATCTAAATGATTCTATGTGTCATTAAATTTTTTAGTATATTGTTAAATGGATTTATTGAATTCTTATAAACCTGTTTTAACATCACTTAATTCATCTTTTTTATCAGAACTTTCTGGAGCATGAAGACTACTAATATCAATTCCAAGACGTTGCAATTTAGATTAACTCAAATCAACATCTGAATCCTCAGAAATTATCTAATCATTTTGAAGATCGGCCAAAGTTAAAGCAGCAGGAAAGTAAGCTGAAACTTTGTTTCTGTTAGTGTCTGTTAACATTTATTATTATTTGCGCAATTTAATTATAATTATTATTAATATCAAATCAATCATAAATTGATATTTATTAGGATAATTAAATTTAAACTTCATTTCAAACAATTCCTTTCTTTTTTATAAAGGTTAATCTCTATTTTTGACTCTTATTTTTAATTCATTAAGATTCCTAATGGTTTAGTGAATTGTATCAAATTAAACTAGGAGAGGGAATAAATATTTAAATTTTACATTAAATAATATAAATTCAATAATGATTTTAATTATCTCTATTCAATACTAACTCAAACTTAGATCTTTAGTATTGTGGAATAAGTAAATTTATAGATTTTTTATTTAAAATCAACTTTTCGATATTATTTTTGCTAATCGATTTCATCTAAAAATTAGCCTAAATATTCTCTTTGATCTTACTGATGTGGATTATTATTTCTTTTTAGGTTAACTTGAATATAAAACAGATTTGTTTATTGGATTCTTGAATTTATTTAAAATAATTATATTTATGAATTAAATAGTAAATCATCAAGGTGTAAATTTGTTAGTTTATGGAATACTCATTAGAATAAAAATGCATAAATTGAAGCGAACTTAAATAATTTTATTTTTATGTCCAAATGAAGCTAGAATGATTTAGATGGTAATTCATTAAAAAATATTAGCTTGATCCTCTTGGTACTTTTAATAATTACTTTGATCTTACATAAATTTCAGATATGACATCAGAAGAGCAACACAAATTAAAAATTATCAATCAATAAGGAAACTATATTAAACTATACTTTGAGAATTAAATTTAACTAAACATGATTAGAGAAGGTTTATAATATCTAATCGGAGAGGCATTTCGAATATAAAAATAATTAGATAGTTGTAATTAAATATGGAGCAATGCCTTAAAATTGATAACTAAATCAGATCTTGATATGGATAATCGATTAAACTTTAAGGAATTCTAATTTCTGATTGGTGAATTATAAATTGAGATTAGTGAAAGAAGACTCATATAATTATTTGAAAAGCATTAAAAAAACAGTTAATTAAATGAAGCAACTTTGTATAAATTACTGATGGAAATAACAAGAAAACACGAAATAATTTAATTATATTAAAAGTATTGTAGCAAATAAGAGGGATTGTTTGATGATCCTCATAATACAATGTTAATGAATGCTCATGATTTAGAAACTTTCTTTTTAATTGAATAAGGATAAAAAGATTATAAAGCATAGAAATAGTTTTATAATTTTTATGATTTTTAAAATATAATTTGTAACTAAGAAAATACAATATTTTAAGCTAAGGAATTAGATAAATCTTATCCTCTTACTTCATATTATATAAACTCTTCTCATAATACTTATTTAGAAACAAATTAATTGACAGGATAATCAAGTTGTTTTGCTTATTAAGATGCTTTTAAGATGGGATTTAAATGTGTAGAATTAGATTGTTGGGATGGATAAGATGGAGAACCTAATGTAACACATGGACATACATTAGTAAATGATATAAAATTTATAGATGTAATTAAAACAGTAAGAGAATTTGCATTTTTTAAAGATGATAATCCTGCTATTTTATCTTTAGAAATGCATTGTTCACTAAAATAATAAAAAAGAATTGCTGAAATATTAAAAGCTGTTTTAGGGGATATGCTTTTTGTTATTAAGGATTATAAATAAAAACAATTTGCAACGTTATTGGAATTGTAAAGAAAAGTATTAATAAAATATAAAGCTGATGAAGAATTTTTATCAGAGAAATTATAAATAAGAGATCATTCTTTATCATTATATTGTACATAAACTTAAGATGATTTAATTATTTAATTTGAAGATGATATGGATAACAATGTTTAATTAAAGTAATTTAGTAAAACATTGGATAATAAATAAGTTAAGAAAAGTTGTAGAGATATATTAGAAATAACATCTTTATTTGCAGTATCACTTAAATTAAATAACAATCCAGATTTAGTATGGGTAGTTTCAAGTGTTTCTGAAGATAAGATATAAGATACAATCAAAAAGAGTTAAGGTAAATTTTATGATTACGTAAAAAATTACTTTGTTAGAATTTATCCATTAGGTTTAAGATTTGATTCAAGCAATTATGATCCTTTTCCATCATGGACAGCTGGTGCTCATATGGTTGCTTTGAACATTTAAACTAAAGATATATTTATGTTATATAACTATGGTATGTTTCTTAATAGTTCATATGTTTTAAGATAAAATTGTGATATTAAAATGACAATATTTGTTAATATTTTAAGTGCTAGTAATTTAGTTTGGGAAGATGAAAAAAGAAGACAATAGGAAATTGTTGATCCTTATATCAAAGTTAGAATTGCTGGAAATAAAGAAGATGTCAATAATTCAGAAAAATGGAGAACTGAGACTATTTAAGATAATGGATATCATCCTATTTATAATTACAAATGCAAAATTTAACTTAAGCATGCTTAATAAGATGTTATCTATTTTTAAGCTTATAGTTATTCCCTTTTAGGTGATTCTCTTTTAGGATAATATTGTTTGTCTCCATTAAATTTAAGAAAGGGCTATCGAATTGTACCATTATTAAATTCATAACTAAAACCATTAAATAGCTCTCATGTCTTGGTAAATATTAAAATAGAATATTGAAAATAAGTAATTTAATAACATTAACTTTATATATATATTATTATTCATTCAAACTAGATTATTTGATTTTATATTCTCTTTTTGGTGTTAATTCCCTCTTATCTAATTTACTCATAATTTTCTTTAAAATATTTCTTAGATTCATCTCACAACATTTTTCAATAGCTTTTTTGAATTATTATTATTTTATTTTATAATTTAATCAATAATCTTCAGAAGAGAATGCACTCAAATAATCCTTTGTTATTTAAATCATTTATTATTGATTTTTATTATTTGATTTAGGCAAATAAACTACTTTCATTTAATTTTGATTAATCTAATATATTTAAATTAAATCTCTAAAAACTCATAATTAATATTTTATGATATCCTTTATTACTTGAGATTACAAATTTTGCTTTAAAATATATATAAAATTATAACATAAAATTTTTAGCAATAATATTAGATCAATATTTAATCTTAAAATTATTTACTAAATAATTCATAAATCTTTTTGGAATAGTTTATCTTTTTATATATTAATTATATATAATTTTCTATACCAATAAAATTATGTAAAAAATCTATTTTAAATAATACTCATAAGTTCTTTATTATTTTTTTTAACGGAATTGTTTAAATACTTTTGATTTTTATAATCCTTATTTTATTTAAATTACTAACAGATAATTAAATTAAGCTACTATAAATTTCTTACAATGACTTTAAGAAATAGAAATATCATTTTGAGATAACTTACAAATCAAAATCAAATCAAATTGATCAAACTGCACTTATGGTACCCATTAATATTTAAGGATTAATTTAGAGTTCTATCCACATTTTTAATGTTATTTATCTTTAATATTTGTTATAATATATATATACCAATCAAATAGTCAAATATAGCATTTTCTTTTACATGGACAATCTTATATTTTAAATTTAACAAATTTAAAACCTTTTCATTTATTAATCATAACTCTAGTTGAAAATAAATAATTATACTCATTAAGAATGCAAAACAAAGAGAATGATTGAAGACTATCCTTAAACATAATTGACTTGATCATATTTTATGAATATCTCCTTAATCATTACCTATTTACAAAATTTTATTATTGGAGATATTTGCAAGCATTTCTATCACTTTTTCAGCCTTTTGAGTATTAAAAGCAACCCTCAATCTTATTCAATTATTTTTTTTTTCATCTTCTTGCATTTTATAAAATTGATGATTTTTCCTCCTTCGGATTTGCTAAATAGTAGATTATTTATACAATCATCATTTTTTAGCATTTATATAATTGATATTTTATATCCGAAATTTAAAGTTTTAAATTATACTTCATCTCATATTATTGTGATTTTAAGAAATCTAACATTTTACATAAAATGAATATTATATTGACACAAAGGTAGAAATATAAGACATTTTTCAAATTATTATATAAATTGAATATAACAAACATTTAAAGAAATTTTAACAGACTTTACAAAATTTAATGAATGTATTTATATACAATTTATAATGTAAAGAATACGTCTTTACATTATAAATATTACTAATATATATATTTATTATCAAATTTCTCTTAACCATCAAAACTTATTTCAAATTTCACGTAAATTGATTAAAACAAAAGTTTATTAACTATTCTCTAAAAATTTCAAAAATAAGTAGTGAGTATCTTTTGAATTAAAAAAATTAATACTCAATCAAGGGAGTAATCATTAATAAAAATATTAGAAGGATTGAATTTTCAAAGGTAATTATAAATTTATGATTTGAAATTAAAAGATAGTTTCTATACTCAATTCTTAAAATAACTAAAAAAAGCGAATTTAAACAATGTTAATTAATTAGGATAACATAAAAATTTTGATATGATCTTTATTTAGACTTAAAATCTAATAATTTTAATTAAAAATGTACCAGCTTTAATATGAAATTTTGAAGAATAATTAAATATACTGAATAATTTAATATAAAGTACAAAATTTAATTCTAATAAGTTTTTTTAACAATACTAAAAAGTGAAAAAAACAGTGTAATAATATTTAGTTTTGAATATTAATATAATTATTATAATAATGAATAACAAAAGATCAACAATAGAGGATGCTATGAGAGCTGAAAAAATAAATTTGAATGTTTATTAGTCGTCATAATAAGGCAATTATCAAAATTATTATGGTTAAAATTCTAATATGAGTTACAGATTCTAAACCAACCTTCCTTAATAATATTAATATAATCAATATTATCAAAATGGTTATTAAGGATTTGGGTATCAATGTAATCAATTATATATTATTTAGAACCATAAATGCAAAACTATCTTTATCGATCACAATAATAATTCTTATAATAAGGAAATCCAACTTAAAATTCATAAAATAAATTTCATCCATAATAATAATAGTTTGTTGTCACTCAATAATAAATTGCATAATAATAATAATAATTTAAACAATAATAACTTGAGTAATAATAGTTTTAATAAAAATAAGAATAATCATAAAAAATACAAATAGAAATAAATAATGATCATTAATTTTTACCTCCAGTAAATATATCAGAATTGGATTAGCCAACGAGATGGGAAAGTGAATTAAAAGTTTATTCATATATGTATAGAAAATTAAATGTTGAGATGCCTAATTTAGTTAGTATAATTAATTATTAAATAAAATAGGTGCTAGATTTTGTAATTCTAGAGAAGTATTTAATGAGTAATCATCAATTAATGTGAAATAATATGTTGAAAGAGCATTTGATAAATGTTAATCAGATGATGAAAGAAATATAATGGAATAATATTTGAAATCCACAATAGCTGAGGCTAAAAGAAAAAATGAATATAACATAAGAGATTGGTCTAAATTTCCTTTGCCAACACTTCCAAGAGAGAATTAACTACGTACATAGTCGTTATTTTCATCAAACTTACAAATTAAACAAAGCACAGCTATGACATTGTCTTCATTAGGTTAAACTAGTAAATTTGGGGCACCTAGTTAAGCTCAACCTTCTGGACCAGCTTAAAGTAATGGTTCTTAATAATAGAAATTAAAGCATCTACTAATTTGCAAAATTTGATGTCATTATACGATTAATTCATATAGTAATAAGTTGAATCAATTAATCAAAATCATATGAAAAACAAGAAAATTGACTGTAGTATGGATTTGGCTATGCTGTAAATTGGAAAATTGCAACCTAATGCCACTACATAAATTAAATAACAATAAAAATAGTTAAAAAAAAAAATGGAGGAAGAAGACCATTATCTTCAAACAAATATGAAAATCATAGTATAAAGGAATTTCATTTATTTTTAAGGGAACATGTGAAGATTTAGAAAAACCTTATTTTAGACTTACAGGTTTGCCAGATCCTAATATGATTAGACCTGAACATATTTTAAAAAAGGCTTTGAAATAATTATTAGATAAATGGAAAAATTTTTAAGCAGATTATAATTTTATTATTGAATAATTTAGATCAATACGATAAGATCTCTTGGTTTAGCATATAGAAAATAGATTTACTGTATAAGTGTATGAGGAAAATGCTAGAATATGTTTAGAATGTGGAGATTTTCCTAGATATGAAAGTTGTTGGACTATGCTTGGAGATTTATATGATATGATAAGCATTAGTGAAGGTAAAGATGTGAATTTGATTGGAAATAAAGTTGAATTTGATAGTTACAGAATATTTTATTTAACAATGCTCAATAAGCAAGATTAATTAGTAAAAATACTTCATCAAAATTTAGATGATTAAAGAATTAAATTTGCATTAGGGTATATTAAATTTTTATTTAATTTTAGATTAAGAGAATCTTATAAATGTGGGAATTATGTTAAATTATTTAAAGATTATAAATAATCTGGTGAAACGATGGGAAGTATAATTAATCATTTTTTAGTTAGAATCAGAGTGAAAGCATTGAAATAAATTGTTAAAACGTAAATATTTATATTTATCATAGGTATATTTCTAACATAGATCTAGAATATCTTGCTGATTTATTAGCATTCTAAGATGTTGAATAATTTAAATAATTTATGCAATTTTTTGGTATCAAAAATAATTATTTTTACTAGAATTAGTTAGATTTGATGAAACATTAAAGTTTTTGTTAATAAAATAAAGTATAAATGCTTTTGATAATATCAATTTTGATAAAATGAATGAGTGATGTCAAAAATCATATAAAATATATAGATATAATTTAATTAATTGTTTTTAAATTATTTCTTCTCATATTATGATTATTCTTAATCTATTTTAAGAAAAACAATATTAATTTTATTTTTCAATCAATCTCTCTTTTCATATTTTTCCTGACCTTAATAATTCAATTTATTCTTGAATAAAAAAAGTCAGTTAATTTATAAAAAAATATTTTTATATTGAAAGATAAAAAGGATATCTTTATTATTATTATACAATTTATTTAATTCATGGATCAATAACAAGATTTAAAAGAATTGATTTAGCTGTATAACAGCGCCACTTAATTAAAGCGGAAAGCAGAAAAAAAATTAATACGATTCACAGATTGTTTAACAGAAGAAGATAAAATTACCTGTGGAATAGATTTGATAGATGAAATAAACACAATCAGATAAAAAATTAAACAAGAGAGGAGAGAAAAGGCTGATAATAGTGTCAGAAACTCATATATATCTCTTTAAAATACAATGTCCGATAATAATCTAAACCTACGAAAATAACTAAATGAAAAATCAATAAGTAGACTTTTAATCAATATTTATAAGTGCTGGAATAAGAAAAAATGAATTTTCGGGAATAGATTGAAGCATCATAATCATAATTGAACAAACTTAAAGAAGAGTTAGAGAATTTAAGAGATAGTAATATATTTATTTTTATCTAAGGAAATCTGGATGAGATTAACTAATTAACTCTGAAAAACTAATAATTGGATTAGATCATAAATCAATTAAATAAGGAACTTATCTAAACCTAAAATCGTATTTTTTATAATTACTTATTAGGCTTATAAATATATAAAGATGAAGAAGATAGGAAGAAATCATTTTATTCATTGATCGAAAATCTTAAAGTTGGTATAAAAATAATTTTATAAAAAGCGATTATAAATGATTATGATAATGTTATAACGAATCTTAAAGAAAAAAATGCAGCATCACCAACTGAAAATGAAAAGAAATTTGATAAATAAGAAAAAATTGAAGATGAAAAACCATTAATCTAAGAGAATTTAATTTAAAATAAAATGAAATAACTTTACCAGATTTTAAGCGATAAATAAAAAGCTCTCCATACAAATGCTGAGGAATAATTTATTTAAATTGATAATGGAATAACTAATATGGAAGAATTTCTATAAAGAATAGTTGATCAGGAAGAATCAATTAAAGAGAAAAATAAATATCGCAGTTTAGGAACGAGTTAAGATTTAACTAATTAACATTTATTTGAAGATAGCGAATAGCATTAACTCTAAAATTAACTTGGATAATAAATTAAAAGTAAATTCTATATTTATTTTAGATTTTAAATAAAACCTCAAAGAATTAAAGGAAGCAAATCGTCTGCTGCTATAAAATCATAAACAAAATTAAAAAAGAATTACTAATCCTTTAGTTTGTAAAAAATTTAATTAAGCTTAGAATTGGGATAAAATTTTGAAACTTTAGCTTGTTAATTGCAATAGATTTATGAAAAACGAGATGAATAGGAAGAAGGTTTATAAGCCCAAATCGATTTTTTAGGTATATTTTTAATATAAATATTAAGATAATGTTGTAGATTAAATAAAAATTTAATAAAAAAAACCCTAAAATGAAGATGATAAAGAAAATTTTAATAATATTAATGCTTAAATGTAAATTTAAGTTGAAGATGATGCTGAAATTATCACTAATCCAAAAAATACTAAAGAATTTGAAGATGAAAATTATGAATAAGATATTAAAAAAAATTATGAAAACAAATTTTAAGATTTAAATAAATAAAAGGAAGAATTGGAGTAAATTAATTTAAAGTTTAAAAAGGAGATTGAAGACTGCAATAATAAATTAAAAAAGTAGATTGAAGATAGTTAATAAATTCAAAACTAGCTAAAAGATTCTTATTTAATTAATGCAAAATAAAATGAGGAAATCAATAAGAAAGAAAATTAAATATAGATATTATAAGAAAAATTATAATATATAGAAGAAGTAAGAAGTTAATAAGAATCATAATCTTTGCAAGAGTTAAAATAATACATTAAAGAGTTAGAAGAATTAAATTAAGAATTGCTTAATGAAATAGAAATATTAAAATAAAATATAGAAAATTAAGAAGATATGCAAGGTAGATAAGATAACGATATTTTAACTAATTTAAAAAAAATAGATGGAATAGAAAATGTATATGGAGAGATTAGTAAAGGAGAGATTTTTTTGAATTAGTAAAATTATTAGAATTAATAAAACGAAGACTAGCTATAGAAAAGGATATAAGAATCAGAATTTAAAATAATCTAATAATAATTGAATTTAAATAGTAATGAGTAAGAGTTAAAAGGTTAGATCAAAATTGATTAAAATTAATATTAATAAAAGTCAAGTACAATAGATGAAGATAAATAGTAAATCGAGGTTTAATTGAATGAACTTGGTTAATTTGAAAATTTTAATGAATAAATTACACAAGATTTTGATCTTTTTTAGAATTAAAAAGATGAAGATGAACAATTAGGAAAAAATAGTTTAAAACAATATAGTATATTCGAATAAGAAATAGTTAATAATGAAAATCAATAATTTAATTTGGAATAAAAAAAAAATAAAATAAATGAAGTGGATGATTAGTAATAATAGGATAAATAATAATTATAATAACTTTAAGAACTATAAGTTTAAAATATTAATATATTAAATGAATAAGTATCTTATTTAGAATAAGATAAATAATATTTATTATAAATCAAAGAAGAATATGAATAGAATATTAATAAATTGAATGACCAAGTAACTAACTTAGAATAAGTCAAACAAGAATAAGAATAGAACATTAATCAATTGAATGTACAAGTATAAAAATTAGAATAAGATAAAAAATAATTATTCCAAGTCAAATAAGAATAGAACGTTATTCAATTAAATGAACAAGTATCAAATTTAGAATAAGATAAATAATAATTATTATAAGTCAAATAAGAATAAGAATAGAACATTACTGAATTAAATGACCAAGTATCTTACTTAGAATAAGTCAAACAAGAATAAGAATAGAAAATTAATCAATTGAATGAACAAGTATCTAACTTAGAATAAGTCAAACAAGAATAAGTATAGAACATTAATCAATTGAATGAACAAGTATCAAATTTAGAATAAGTCAAACAAGAATAAGAATAGAACATAAATCAATTGAATGAACAAGTATCAAATTTAGAATAAGATAAATAATAATTATTATAAGTCAAATAAGAATAAGAATAGAACATTACTGAATTAAATGACCAAGTATCTTACTTAGAATAAGTCAAACAAGAATAACAATAGAACATTAATCAATTGAATGAACAAGTATCTAACTTAGAATAAGTCAAACAAGAATAAGAATAGAACATTAATCAATTGAATGAACAAGTATCTAACTTAGAATAAGTCAAACAAGAATAAGAATAGAACATTAATCAATTGAATGAACAAGTATCTAACTTAGAATAAGTCAAACAAGAATAAGAATAGAACATTAATCAATTGAATGAACAAGTATCTAACTTAGAATAAGTCAAACAAGAATAAGAATAGAACATTAATCAATTGAATGAACAAGTATCTAACTTAGAATAAGTCAAACAAGAATAAGAATAGAACATTAATCAATTGAATGAACAAGTATCTAACTTAGAATAAGTCAAACAAGAATAAGAATAGAACATTAATCAATTGAATGAACAAGTATCTAACTTAGAATAAGTCAAACAAGAATAAGAATAGAACATTAATCAATTGAATGAACAAGTATCTAACTTAGAATAAGTCAAACAAGAATAAGAATAGAACATTAATCAATTGAATGAACAAGTATCTAACTTAGAATAAGTCAAACAAG